TACTTCGAGCGTCCGTGTATTGATCTTTTGACCGAGCCGAGATCTTTTGGGTGAGCGCTTCTTTTGCTTCTCGCTGTGTGCAAACTTTCCTTCGAAAGTGCAATCGATGCATGCAGATTACTTTTCAAGATTTATTATAGCACACCTCCACAGCTCCCAATGAAGAAGTTTTAAATTGAAGCATAACGTTGACTTTGACGGTATGATTGTGGGTGTAACAATAACAGTGAGCGTTGGTTGTAATAACCGAAAGTATTATTCGATTGCCAAATTATCATGAACTTTTCCAATTCTATTGGAGAAAGTTGTACAAGTCATTTCTAAAGAATAATATTGCGTCATAGTCGTAACATGACGGAGAATTTCAACCAACTCAAACGTCAGATTTGTATTTACAGATAAAATAAATTCATATAATTTTCTAGAGAATCTGTGCTACATTTCTATTTATAAATTCAAATAACATTGTCGCGTGACTAGTTTCCCTTCATATTTGAAATTCAGGACCTACCGTTTAATTTTTCCGTATTCTCGGCGGATTCGGGATAAGAATTTACAAGGATTTTCTTTCGCTATTCATAATTGCTAATACCTACTTTATCATACACATTCAATAAGAAAGAAATATTATGACATTTTTATGTTACTCTCAAAATTCTAACAAACACTTGAAGTCGCACTTCGACCCACGTCCAATTTGACAATTTTCCTCTTATTTTACATTTCTTTCGCTCTCTCAGGTGCATAGCAAGAGCAAAATAAGAACAAGTGGACACGAGAGTTCTTCAAAAGGCGTAGTAGTTAAAAGTCGCCGCCCATGCATGCATCTTAAATCTTCGCGAGTAAAAGAAAAAGAGTATACCTGATGATTCGAACCAAGATCGATTCCAACATTACTGTACTCGTATGTAAATGCTAACAAATGAAAAACCTTACTCCCGTTTGCTCAAATGTTCTACAAGTATATTATACGTGTTTCGTGATTGTTGAGAATGGTATGCTAAATTATCTGAAATTTTCATAAATTTATTCAACCTACCTGGCGTATTAACATTCAAATCTCGCATAGTGTCCATTTTTCTCTCTCTCTCTCTCTCTCTCTCTCGATCTCCGTTCTGTTGTCATGTCATTTTTGCGAGTAGACTTTTAAGATTGTTTTCCTCGAGCAAAGAGCTTTTATTCTCTTTAGAGCTCGTGACTTTCGTATATTATATTAACGTAGTCGCTGCTAAACCATCGTAAAATATTAACGGGATAATGAAAACACACGAGAAAAACGATTCGTAAGCTCATTTGATAGAAAAAAATGTCTAATTAAGTCTTCGTTCATTCTACTTGTATACGGCGAGATGATGCCGATGCTGATCACGTAGCGCTATCTTAGGCACGATGAATTGTGGGTCGAGGGAACGTAGTTGGCTTACCTTAGGGTATTTCATGTCGCGAAGGAACAAACGGGATATAGAGCAAGTGCTAAGATGGAGCAAATGCTTCGTTTTATTACAGACTATCATTTGCATTTCGGCAAGAGCGACCTTGGTAAATGTATCGGTGAATGAGATTTGTTTTCAATTGATACTGTATTAAGATTTGGGTACGAAAGGGTACCTTACAAAAAAATGTGCCTATAACCAAATCCTATAACCAATCTCGCAACTGTGTCTACGCAAATTGATACTTCCTCAACTCAGCTCGTCAAGATCGTGATCTCAGCACGATGCACGTTTTCGAAAATGATATAGGCGCCTGGAGCGTCGGTCAAATTTCCGATCCGTGATCGTGCGCTTGAAGAAAAAAAAGGATCCGCTGACCTGCTACACTTCACACGCGTGAAGCTTTGGTAGCCGTAAACGTAAGAGTGCGTTTTTCCTAAAAACCTTACACAGCAATATAAATAATGCCTGCGAATATTATCCGCGCGCCAGCCGCAAATAAGACCTAAAGGAGAATCATTGGAGCAAGGCGGATTATCGAACTGCCATACCGTGGCGATTTGAAATATTACTGGCGATCTGTCTTGTAAGTTTTTTTTTGTCAGTGGTTGAAGGTGATTTTAGGTGATTGATCTTGGAGATTGGAGATTACTGTATGCAGAAGAAGTTTGGGAGAATGAAGTAACGGAAGGTGACGGTGCAGCTTTTGTTTTTGTGTGAAGAGCTACGGCATTTTTTTTACAATATATCGGGTTAGCAACCTTAATAACATACAATAACCGTGTACACATCTAGGTATATTTTTTCACTTTCGCATTATTTTATAAACATACTTGAAGTACTGAATTGAAGTGATAAGTTTGGATCGATAACTTTTATAATTACGTTTTCATATAAACTTTTTCAGCTGTGTGTGTCCACAAGTTGGTTTGAATAGCGACAACTTTATATAATTGCTTTCATTTTAAAAAATAATTAATTTTGAAATTCACTTCGAAATTTTCTTTAATAAAACTATAAAATTCATATTCTATGGAGAGTTCCATTTTGTTTCGAAAAATCCTTCTTGCTTACATTGTTCCATAAGGCACGCTTCAAGATATAATTCCATTTTTCATTGGGACTGTTTTTCATGCTGTTCTAAAAGAGCACAATTAGTTTTATCAGAATTGTCCGTGAGTAATTCATCAAAACGTGTAACAATAAAAACACATTGATTACAGACAAATTAATGTCAATATGTTAGTTATTACTCCCAAGCCACTGAATCACAATCGCAAAAGTAAAATCCATTGTAAACTTCGGGATTGAAAAATCGCAAATAAACATTTCTTTTGTATCGTTTTTCGCGATGCTGTTGCGTCATGTCGATAAATCAAGTTTTCCAAGCCACCGTATGAGCAATAGCAGCTGCAATATCGACGCAATCTATCTTTTTTTTTCGTTGCTCGGGTGTGCGCCATGCCAAGGTGGTGTTATTTACAGTTCGACGGTGCTCGTAATGTAATTGTTTGGTTATATTCCTTGATTCTTTATAGTTGACCTGCTTTCTTGCTTCGAGTATAAAATCCGACGACACATAAAATGTCGTTTCGAGCAAAAGTTAATTTTGCATGTTACATTCGCGACTGAAATTGCCGCGTATACGATTGGTATCTTGTGAAGAGAAAGAGAAAAGAGAGCGGGAAACGAAAACTTTTCCAGTTAGAACTTTTCGTTCAAAAAATGAAAAGCACGCCCGCGTCAGGTGAAAATTTATGCATGTACCTGCGCAGGGGCGCGCGAACTAAGCCCTTTGTAAAAACACGATACCAACTCGCGACGACTTGACAAATATTTCAAAACCGGAAAGTACAAACTTTAAACAAACGCTCATATAAATGTTTGAAACTAGAATTGGCTCGCGCTATGAACATGCGTGGTAAGCGAAATATCAGAAGTGAGGTTATTGTGTGAAATTGTTTGCGCGTATATACATACATTTGAAAGCAGGACCAGCAAACGTCAAACGCTCAATCGTTTATTGCGTTTGACATGCGATCCTGGAGGCTGATTGTATTTCCGCATGTATAGTGTCAACATCACCTCTCTCTACTACGTAGTCTATGTCACAAGTTGAAAACAAGTGGCGTGGAACCTTTATACTGCTATGTGAAGGCTCTCTCTCGTTCTCTCTCTCTCTCTCTCTCTCTCTCTCTCTCTCTCTCTCTTGCTCGGTATTAAACTCATGTTTTTATCTCATTTCTGTGATATTAGAATATCGGGTTGAAAGTATGAAAACTTATGCATCGTTGGTAATTGTGTTTTCCGTTGATAATTGTTTGTTCAATTGCTAAATTGCATTATATATATATATAAACCAACTGTACCATTTCGATTCTCTACGCTCGGAGACTCAATTTACAAAATTATAACATGCTCTAAATCTTTCATTCTATTAAGAAATATTAAGTACGAGATTAAATACCTCTACTGATATAATATAATAATTTTATAATAATAATATTGCTTTATTATATTATAATATAATTATCTTATATGATAATTATATTATTATATTATATAATTGATATAAATACTGATACGTTGTTTTTCTTTCACTCTCGAGCGGCTGTTCACTTATACTAAGTGAAGGTTTACTCGGTAGTGAACGAAAAATTCCGTACTAGTATTTAAATGTACTAATATTTATTTCTTCAAATAATTCCGAAAATATTTTCTTGTTTGTGAAATAGCAAACTCCATCTAGTGTCAATTTCGTCACTTGTAAAACCTACATTGACATCGTCACAATTTCTCGTCCTGAATTCCCGGAAAACAAACGTCATACCGGCGAAATTGATATTTCCAATTTTCGTTATTCCGCGGAACAGTTTAGCAGGCATTTTTATCTCGCGAAATGAACGGGAATTATTCACACGCGAGAACGAGGATTAACAGGAGTGGGCTCGACATAATCGCATTTGCGTACACGCGAGTAGCAGTCGTACACGGGCGCGAGTAGAACTGTGCGGGGGCATAATGACAGCGTCGATGGTAGTGTGCGGTATCCGGTCTCGGCTTAATTGGCCGTAAGCTATGAGCTTTAAACCTGCGAGCTTTTAATTTATTTGGCTTCGCCACGCGTACTTACGCGAGTGTAATTTTCATGCGAGCTGTGCTCTGATATTGCCTTTTTTTCATTCCCATGGATATTGCATTACCATTCCTTCTCTACGGATATTTACATATGACTTGACGGAACGGTGTATCGCGGAAAGAATTCAATAACACGACATACGACGAATAAATTATAGCGCGCGTGATATAATATATATTGTTGACACCAGATACGTCCGGGTATGGGTGCGTGGGTCACTCCTTGCATTTGCATTTTTTCCGACATTTTGATTGGCACGAATGTGATTGACCGACCACGCGATACGCGGAAAAGATTATGCAATACGATCCGTTTTTTCTTTTCCAGTTTGACGTTCACCGTTGTCAATCCACTTCTTTTATGAAAACGAAACTACTCGTATATCTTTATCATCGAAATACTCACCGAGGTAATTTTGGTGATTACAGAGCTCAGAATGCGGTGGCTCGGCTACGTGACGGCGATACTCTGGTGGTCGGGAATCGCCAGGTCCCTCAGCTCCATGAATCGAGGTCAGTGATCGTCCCCTCCTCCCTCCTTTTGCATGCTTAGTCTCTGTATATACATTTTGTGCGAATGAGAGCTTAAGCTGTCGTGTGGTTGCGCTCCGATCGATCTTCGGTTTGTTTCTCTCTTTCTCTCTCTCTCTCTCTCTCTCTCTCCAGTGTCTTTTCACGGTGACTGAACTGTTTCGTGAAACGTGGATGCAGTGCCTAGTGCGCTATAAAAATCTTTGTATCCGTTCCTGTCTTGTACGTATGTTACGGTGGAAGACGTTTTTATATAAGTGAGATTGTGGACAGTTTGTTGAATTGAAGGAGGGATTTTATTTTTGCTGTGAGTATTTTGATAGTGTAAAAATATATCGAAAAACAACAGCTATGCATGACTTAATCAAGTAATTAATAATAAATCACATACACTACTAAATCAGTCATCCTTTTCAATTACACGATCAATGAATGCAATTTTTCATTTAGCAATATGAAATTCAACCTTAACAATTCCCAATACTAATTCGACTGAAAAAAGTACCAATTAGCATTCGTTTATCCGCTTATGGACTGAAATTTCGTGACGAGAAAAAAAATGTCGGTCAACAGGCTACAAAATAAGTCCAAAGCCGTGTCGAGTTGCCGGCCAGCCGAACGTCGAGGGTACTTGCATGTTCGTCTGGGAGTGCATTAAGAGCGAAGGTATCCACGTTGGCGTATGTGTCGACACATTCATGTTTGGCAGCTGTTGCGTGCACAATGTTACCAGTAATAGCATGTCTGCTTCTAATGGTAACCAACTGCAAACAAGACCGTCGCTTGCGGAGGCGCTGGCCGCCGAATCCACCAGTATCAGGCCGCAATCCGGCCCCTCTGCATTTACTAGTCATGTCACGACATTACAAGCCGGTTCACAAGGTTTGTTCACGATGACTTTTCATTTGCTATTTTCAGATTTTTTCTGTAGTACAATTTTATCTTCAATGCGTATGTACTTAAAAATAGCCAATAGATTAAATCAATGTAGCGTTCTCGTGAATAATTTTACTCTAAAAAACCCACAGCTCACACGTCATTAGCAACAACGAGGCAGCCAGCGCGTCCGGTATCAAATTCCCGACCATATTTACAAAAGAGGCCGCACTCAAAGCCAAACAGTCCCGAGCAAGATTATCAGGAGCACATGCACAACGCGTCGCAAATAACCCGACGACCGGGTACACAAGAGGATCGTCATCACGGCAGTAGCGACAGTAATCATCATCACCATCATCATCAAGGTGGTTTCAAGGACAAAGTATCGAATTCACACCATACGTTACTCGTCAGGCTGCCCAACAAGAATAGTAACAATCAACAGCAAGGTTCATCGAGCAAGAGGCCGTATCACAAGCCAGGCTACCGGCCGTACCAAGAAGATGATCAAGCAGCCGACGAACAGGCGCAGCACGATCTTAGTGTGCAAGAGTCCGTGCACAGGCCAAGCATCAACTCGGTAGATGACGACGTGAGATCATTTCTTCAAAATTCATTTTAAAATACAGATTTGTTGTATTAAGTATTTATCGTAATTACATTCTCGTCTTCTGTGGACTGCAGGAGGCATCGGACAAGCTGAACAATCTCAACTTGATTCATACGGAGCGACCTCCATGGGCGACAAAGCCGCAAATTTCGCACGCGAGACCTGAATACTCGAAGCCGTATTTTTCTATGAAAACAACATCGAGTACGACTGCAAAGACGACAACGACGCATCGACCGTCGAGCATCACTACTCCTGCATCTACTTCGTATTACAGCGGGCAACCTACCAGGTACGTGTGCATTTTTTATTACACTGAATAGAATTATTGAAATCGTTTCATGTGAATAATCACGAAGAAAGGTATCTTGTCAGTGCATCTGTAACCTCTAGGTCTTTTACGATAACCATATTAACTTTTAAGTATAGTATTATTAGTCTTCGAAAATCAAATTAGATATTATAAATAATTTTTTCAAATATTTTAGTAATATCGGAAATCTGCATAATCGGTCGATAACAAAGGAATAACACGAACGCTATAAAAATATAACACATAAGACACAACATTTGACTAAACTTTACGAACCGCCATCTATAAAGTACAGTTTCCTTCAGCCAATCGAACAAATTGCGTTACGTAAACCAATGAAATTCCAATGAAAACCATTTCGTATACACACATCGCAATGAGAGAATATAAGAGCGAAACTTTTGCCGCGCTTCGCGAGAAAACATTCATCACGCGTATATATGCATATATATATATATATTATTCACAACGCAGTCGCGTGACGATAATCGAAGTCACGATGCTGGCACGCGACGCTGCGATTCCGCTCGTACCTTTCACCAATTGATAAACTTTACGCGTACGAGTTTTGTATACATTATTTTTACGTCCTTTGGGAAGCTGACTTTTCCGAGCGGTAGTTTATACATTTTCGTTAATTTCAAAGTTTAGCAGGGAAGATACTTTTCACATCGACACAGTCTTGGAAATGAAATTCAATGAATTTGAGTCTGCACGAATGAAATGTTTCGTAAATACGTCTAAAATGTGAAATCCAAGCTGAGCTTCGGCTGAGGAAGAGGGGGCATAGACTATGCTATATAACAAGGCAAGCAGCGCTCCTGTTTAGACGAAGTCTTCTTCGTGTCACGTCAAGCTTGCATTACAGCGGATCTGAATAAAGCTTCATTTAGGTCACGTCACGCGCGATGAATACTACAGCGCAGCACACATTACCCATGACAACTCGATTGCGACGAGTGAAAATTAAAAGCAAATTGAATATGATTGTAGCGCAGCCGGCTCGGCGTCGCACTGGCAAGTAACGACGGAGCCGGCCTTCGTCACACGTCACAAGCAGCCGAGCAGCAGCGGTAGTAACGCTTGGACTCACAAGCCTCAGCATAAACCCCAATGGACCGACCCGCAGAGGCCAAGCTTCAAGCCTACCGAGCCTCAAGAGGTGAGCCATTATACTCCGTCTGACTTTCGCCGGATAAATTGCCCAAAGGACGAGCAGGAGTAATTATTGTCGGGTATCAATGTGATTGATCACGTATCTGATTTTTATTGCGTGGAACTTTCTATTTTTGTATTTGGGAGTCTGGTCTGGTTTGTATTTGGTTAATTTGGTCACTTTGTCAGTGCCTGAAAAGGCGATTTGTGGTTTCTCTTGCAATAGTTTTACTATAATTGACACGCCGTTCTTTGGCATCTGACGAATAAAACGAAAAATCCTGCTGCGAGATCCATAATATTTCAGTAAAATATAAAACATACGCATATCGGATGAAAAGTTTCAAGCGATATGTTCATTCGGTTCTCATTGTAAAATCAAAAGGCAAATTAAAAGTCTTTCTGCAGCGGTAATCATGAAATCGTAAACGTAGTCACGAAAAACCACTCTCCTTCCGCGAGTAATCTCACAACAACGACTTCCCCTAATTATTCATCGTTTCGCTTGCACGGCGCCAGCAACAATTTCCCTCTCGCTGTGTTTGCAAAACGCTAAAAAAATAAAAAAAACGGACGCGATATTGCGCAACGCATCCCCAGTAATTTTCTCGGGCCCCATACTACTACGATGCTCGTAAAACCGTAGCCGGTGCGCGACGCTTTTTGCGGCATCGCATCCGCCGGCTGACCTTGTTGAAAGAGAGATAGACGTGCACTTTCCAATCGCTTACCTGCCCGTTCGAGTATACACTTTTATGGCAGTGAAAATTTTTAGTGGACTTCCGTGTGAAAACCGTCAAGGACATGCGTTTTCTTTTGTCGCTTTTGCGTATGTGAAAGGTAACTTTTCCAAAGAACGACAACCTGATATTTCTGTGCAAGAAAAAAATGTGGCTACGTGCGTTTGGAAATGCCTGATAGCTCACGGAATGAAGTTTCGAATCGGTTTTATGGAGTTTTGCTGCAGGTATTCGTTATTGACTCAATTTACGACAGGAAAGAGAGAGAGAGAGAGAGAGATTGATGTCCCTTTCGATTGATGGTTCATTGGAAAAATGATGCATTATGAAAATTCATGGATTTGCAGTTTTAGATATTAATCACAAGATCAACGACGACGTACTGTTTGAAAAATTTTTTTGTAATTACATTAAAAATGTAAATGAAATATCGATTATTTTTCAGAATAACATCTACCAGAAGCCCCACTCAGCTCACTACATCACGACATCGTTCCTGGAAACGCCAACGAAAGCTCGTCCAACGAAAAAACCGTCGACAACGACAACGACCTCTACGCCAATTAGTACAACGAGAACAAGTACGACAACAACCACTACGGCAGCGACAACAACGGAGTCATCATCAGCAAGGACAGGTTCTGTGTTGACAGTACCAGCTGCAGCGGAGAACAGTGAAATGTCATGTGGCATGCCACCATTGTATCCTAGACCCGAGACGAGGATTGTCGGTGGCAAAGAGGCTGGATTTGGCAAGTGGCCTTGGCAGGTTTCTGTAAGAAGAACGTCGTTCTTTGGTTTCTCGAGTACTCATCGATGTGGTGGTGCTGTGCTCAATGAAAATTGGATTGCTACTGCTGGGCATTGCGTCGACGAGTGAGTACTCGACAGTTTGTTTTTTTTTTGCTTCTTCAAAAATCGAGATTGCGAAGTTTGATAAATAAAATACTAATACAAGCGAAAAACTATGTGATATTACGTTTTCTCGTTGAATAAGTAAATAAGATTTGCTTCCATTCCTTCTCTCACTTATCGGAGTTGTGTACGGCGAACAAAAAAGTAGAATCCACATCAATTGAAACGAAAATCTTTCGCTTTGCAGCTTACTAACGTCGCAGATCAGAATACGAGTTGGTGAGTATGACTTCTCGTCGGTGCAAGAGCGACTCCCCTACGTTGAACGTGGCATCGCCAAAAAAGTCGTTCATCCGAAATACAATTTCTTCACGTTTGAGTATGACTTGGCGTTGGTGCGTCTCGAGACACCATTGAATTTCGCGCCTCATATATCACCGATTTGCCTACCCGCTAGCGATGAACTTCTCGTTGGTGAGAATGCTACTGTCACTGGATGGGGTAGGCTTAGCGAGGGTGGCACTCTTCCTTCTGTACTTCAAGAGGTACGTTTGCTTGAGATATTCTTCGCAAAAACGATGTATTTTTTATCGTCATTTAAGGGAATCAATAAACAAATTTTACACGTTACAATAACACTGATAGATAAATGAGCAGGGTCACATGTAAAAGATGAAAATGAGATTTTTAATCGGAAAATATATCTGCAGGTTTCCGTGCCAATCGTCAGTAATGACAAATGCAAATCAATGTTCCTCAAAGCCGGCAGGCACGAGTTCATCCCTGAAATTTTCTTGTGTGCCGGATATGAAACTGGTGGCCAAGATTCTTGTCAGGTAAAAGATTATTTGCCAATAAATGATTTTATTATTAAAGCCAACGAAAAAAATTGTTTAATTTGCCTTAGGGTGACTCGGGCGGTCCACTCCAAGTACGAGGCAAAGACGGTCGCTACTTCCTAGCGGGTATAATCTCTTGGGGCATCGGTTGCGCCGAAGCAAACTTACCAGGTGTCTGCACGCGGATATCCAAGTTTGTGCCGTGGATCCTCAAGAACGTTACATGATTGACCCCTTTCACCACGAAAGTATAGAAATGAAAATGGCAAGCCGATAGACTGCATTGTCACGTCACGTTTGTCACATGAGGAAGACGACGATAATTTCCACACGAGTGTACAGAACTTTGAAGGAAAAAGAGTACATCGAGTGTAGTTTTAGTAAAGTAAATACTCACGCGGAGTCAACACTCGAATGAGTCAGTGCATCAGTGCATTATTATTATTACCACTGCCGATATTTTCTTTGACTTATACTTTGTATTTATTATATTAAATACGAGAAAACGAACGATTAATATATTCTTCCGTAGGTTTAGATTTGTATAGTTTATAAGGTGCGCAATTGTCTCGTTGAATGAGAGAAGTCTGAAAATTCCTATCTTATATGGCGAATGATATTATTTGAAAAAAAAAAAAAGAAAGAGATTGCACGCATTTTTTTCGGGGGAATTTATCATTGTGCTTTACTCGACTGAAAAGAGCTTAAAAAGAACATTTTTTTATATTGCAATAAACTACAAAGTTTTCATACTAGTCGCCGCATGTTGGAGGTAGGATTTTTTTATGTATGTATAGCTAAAAGTGTTTGTTTTCTTTTTTTGTAAATGCTATGCTCTTGCCTTTTATGCATCGTTTATTGTATCATTTTTTTTTGTTCTTTATTGTACAGATCGAAATATTCATAGCTAACCCGGCGAAATATCCGTTTTCCTGTTTTCTTCCTGTTATAACACGTGAACGGGTTTGTAAAGTACGCACATCTCATGTATTTTTTCTCCCTTCTCTTTACATTGTTTTTAATTCATTTTTGTACAAAATAAACTTTTGTAAGTTCACATTCACAATGATAAATATGCGTGACTTTAAGTTAAGGAGAAAAAAATACATTTATAGATTTATATACATAATAAATTGTTTATAGAGCTTAATTTGTTATTTATAAGTATTGCCAAATAAAAACAAGTTGATTATTATAATAATTAAAGATTTCATTTTATTTTTTATTATAGTTTATTATAGTTTTAAAAAGTTCATAATATTTTTTAATTAACTAGTTAATATAATTATTAACAAATAGTGGGAATGAAATATCAAGGAATTATTCTTTATTGAAACATTTTTAACAGATGGAGACAAATTACAAGAATAATTTATATTTATATTTGTATAATTAAAGTAACACTTTTGGACGTTGATTATATACTAATTAAAATCTTCTCTTTCGATCTGATTATACAACTTTTGTTGGAAACAAATTTATCAAGTCTTATTTAAATTGTCAAATCATATTGATAAATGCTAGTAATGTTAATTATTATATACAATAATAATGTTTAAAATAATTTTTCACAAAAGATTTATACTATCTGTATATTATCACTGGCTAACTATTATAACCTTCTCAAAAAAATTAAAAATTATTACAGTTCGAATGTATTCTTTAAAATCTATTTCATATTTTTTAACAAAGTTAAATATCACAAATTACGAAAATTCAGTAACGTTCTGCTGGATTAAAATAATAATTTGTAAACGTATCTGTACAAGAGAAATCTGATTACCATTGACCCGAAACCATCATTCACTCGAGTAAAAGAAATAAATAGATAGACGCGGAAATCCTATCAATCAGTATAATAATCCATCCTATTTTGAAGAATGAAAATTAATCGACGAAACTGTCTACCATGACAAAAATTGCATGACATAGTCGCATAATTATGAGATGTATGCGTCATAGGCATGTCACGTCCCAGCTTGTCGGAATCAAATCTCCATTTACATGCGAATGGGCCGAGCGTGAGCGTCATAGAATTCTGGAGTTGAGGGGGTCGTCGATGCGTCCAGCTATGAGGGCCACCGATGTCTCGTCGTCTATGATGAAATACAGAAACGGATGATCGGCTATGAACGGCACTATACTGTATCTGTCGTTCACTGCAAAAGTTCATCAGTCATTTGAATATTCAGGCTTACATTCGTATTTTGATAAATTATTGTGCGTTAAATTTGCATTTGTCTTTATTTTTTTTTAATAGAGACGACTAAGACGATTGATTCCAAAAATTATTTTATCAGTAGTTTTGTGCTTTAATTAAATACATTTTTGGGGGTCAATTTTGAAATTATACAGAATTGAGTAACGATCACAACTCAGCAAAATCACGTTTACTTTAGTATCATTAACATAACTTCGTTCTTTTAATTTTAGAAAAGTTTTCTGAAATTATTAATATTTTGTTCACCTGAGAAGTGAAAACTCTCAATTCCAGAAAGAAAAGTTTTGTTCTAACAAATAAGTTCTGAATTAACAAAAATAGTTTTTTTTATTGTAATATAAATATGAAAACTAAAGAAAAATAATTACTTTGTTTCACTTCAAACTTAACGAACTCAAATAACATGTTCTTAGTTGTATACGGAAAAAAAAATTCTTTCTATGCTGATAATTTTGAAGGCATATATAATAATTTTATAAAAATTTACATGCAACAAGAAAAAAAACTCTTCGCCCGTGTGTAGGGTTCTTATCTCAGTGCTATTACAAGACTTCTCTTTACAACGAGTAAATAATCGATTAGATACCATCTATTACAGCGATCGTTGTGCGTGCAGCTAATTGGGCAAAAAGCAACGCACACATACATAGTTCTCGACCGTGAAATCTCGCGGGTTATCGGCTACTGTGCCGCGGCAATTAATGACATAATTCTTGCATGGACAATTGAAAAGAGAAATAACCTCGCATGCGTGCTTCGAAAGAAAAACGCATGGGAAAGTAAGTTTCTCGTGCTTATTCTTGGATATTCTTTGAAAAGACGATGGAGAGTCTTCAACCTCGCTCACAACACGTTGCTTCTTAGATTTAACATAAAATTTCAAACTAAGAACGCAAATAAGGAGTTTCCGGGTATTTGAAACTCTCCGAATTTCGCCACTAAGTCGGCAATTATCCATACATTCCACGGATAGTAAAGTGTTCCAAGAGACAAGAAAGTAATTAGCATTCCTCCGTGCAAATGGAATTTTGTCACCGGAGATTGAACCCACGTCGCTATCAGTGGATTCGCGCACTCGTGAAATTACGAAGTGTTTTGAAAAAGTAAAGAAACACGAGGAAGAAAGGAAAAAAAAAATAGAAAAAAAAGAAAAATACCAATAAAGAGGACGCCCGTAAAACGCAAACAGCGAAGGACGCTCGCGCGCGAAGAGTCTGACTCATAACAGGCTCTTATACGGCCAGGATATCAGCTATTACGCCTAGCTCTCTCACAATACTGAGAAAATACCGCGAGCGAGAGAGCGCATCCTCGCGCGGATTCAATTAAACGACCGAGCTGTTTTTCGCTTTTATTGCATCGTCTTGAGAAGAAATGGAGAGAGAGAACAAGGTGTCTTGGCTTTTTCTTAGGATCTTCGGCTAATTTTAGAAGATCTTACATTGTTTGTGAATTCGTTGAAAGCTTTTACGATAGATTGTTTTCCTTAAATATTGGATGGATCGACGATACAAAATTTGCGCGTAATACGCAAAAAAGCGAAGCATCCGTACAAGGTGGTAAGAGGCATCGAAATTGCAAGTAATTTAGATCGCCAAGCGAAGTTAGAAGCAAATAGCACATTGATGAGTATACGGAGAAAAAATGCGGAGGCACTAAAGAAAAATGTGTCAATAGAAGTACTAAATGGTGAAGTCTATTTTGAGAATCGGAGGGCATCTTGATCGCAGAGCAGAACTTCCGATCGATTCGAAACGCAAGAGCCGCACTGCCAGCCAAGAAAAGAAAGCAAACGGAACGGAGTACCCAACAAGTAGCAGCAGCCGTCGGCGAGCCCTTTGTCAGTCGTGCATTTTTCCGCACGCCCAGCCCCTCGGCCGCGCGTCCCTGATTTATACGTTAAGCTCAAGTAGGTCAATGTTAGGCAAACTCGTATACACATGTAAGCGCCGACGTATTCGCAGCGAAGGCCGTAGTTTATGCGGCAGTAGTTTTATGTGGTGCAGTTCCGGCCTTGCTTATGCTTGGACTCTATGTATGCGAGATGAATGAGGGAGCAATGTTTTCATGAGTTTAAAGTCTCGAGCGAAGAACGGGAGTCAGAGTGAAAACTGTACTAACAATTTATGAATGCACTGACGAATAATTCTCTCGCCACCAGACGATTTACTCAAAATTATTATGCTTTTCATATAAAGTTTGTTCAATGATCGATAAATGTTGGCAAGATTCAAGTTAATACGAAGCAGATAATTGCAGGTACTAATTGGAGTAAATGTAAATGAAACTGAATACGAAGGTAAAACGTTGAGATTGTCTATTAACTATACTATAGATATCATCTTACACACATTTCACTTATACAAACACTATATTAAGTTACATGCGTATCCTTCAAACTTGCACAACAGAACAAATATCGTATAATATTACAAGCTCAGAGTGCGTCGAAAGATAACGCGTGCGCGGCTCGTGGCAAGTAGTAACGGTCGAAAATAGTCGGACGCGCGCGTGCGTTGCGTATCTTTCGCTTACCTGGCCGTTGATATCTCCAAGGATCACGACGTTGCGACAGATCGGCTTGCATTGGATTCTGCGGCATTCCACTGGCGTCGCCATTCATGTAGTTTCGGATGTTCACTGCTATGCTCTGCTGGATGTCGCGTGCGTATACATTCAGATCTGGCGTCATCGGCGACAAGTCAGCTAAACGCGGCTCGAACACGTCTCGCACGCCGAGCTGAAATAACGCAAGGAGCAGCGTTTCTGATGAGAGATAGAGTGACCGAGAAATATTTTAAATGTACAGCGTTAACATTTCATACCGTTGTAATAATACCCCGGCTAGAAAGTTACAAGGAAACATAAGGTAAAATATTCACGAGTTTATTCCCTGCCCATTTGGTTGCTCTTGAAGATGTGCGTGGAGTGCAGGAGAGAGGAAAATCAAAACCCCAACGAAATCGAAATGAATATTTGATCGAAGAAATCAACTCGAACTGCAAGTTTTTTCGTTCGCGAGAATGCAAGTCATTCACTCTACCCTTTATATATACGAAAAATATCATTATCATATCGAGTCAGTATTTAAAAGGTTATTTCTCCACGTTACGAAAATAAATCGCCAAAGTTATATCGCAATTTGATACACGTCAACGATGAAATACTCTTGAAAGCAAAAAAAATCTCCAACCAAATTAAAAGATATAAATCAGCAAATAAGATTTACGTCACGCGATCCCTCTGGAATAATAAAGCCACTTTCATCTATATTGGTCGAGTCAATTTTTCTCACCAACCTGTGATAATTAATTTCGTTCGAGAGGAAGAAAAAATCCACGGCAAGCACAATTGCGAACTGGAATTTTCCGATTGGTTGAGCTACGCGATTACACGATGCTTCCAGCCGTGCCATTTGTCTTCGCTCAAGCGTAAAAGCCAAAAGAGATATAGCTTGCGAAGTGCATATACATGCCAAAAAACTCAGCCCATCAAGTAGGATCAACGAGCGCGACTAATATTAAAAAAAGGAGAAGTTCTTTGTTACATAGGAATTACGCTTGTTGCGGAGCTGGAGGAAATGATGATTTACTGAACAAATTGTTTGGGAGGTAAATAAATAAATGTAGCGTAATCCCAAAATTTAGGCGTAGGATCCAACGATTTGTTTTGATCGACAATAATTTCGCTGCTCTAAACATAGTGTTTCCGCTTCGCAACAAACAAAAACCAAAAAGAAAAAAGATAATTCGGTGAAAACTTTTTTAAAGAAATAATATAGTGATTATATTCCTAAGACAATTAAAATTTACACGTTCCATCTCTGAACATATGAACTTACTAATAAAATGTCAACAATTCAATTGATAGCCAAGATTAAATATCAAAAGCCATTTAGCTATTATACGTTGAAACTTCTCTTAATTGAACCAGTATTTAACAAATATATATTAAAAATATGCCAATATTATTTTTCATCCGCATAAAACTAAGAAAAATAAAGGAAACCAAAAAGAAAATTACTCACCCGTTGAAGGTAGGAGGTGAGGGTGACAAAGCCCCTAAGTGAAAATGAAGGTATAGTAGCTCGTACAGTAGTGGGTTGCAGCTGGTTACGTAGGAGCCTTAGATTCTGTCCCGAAAGCTCCCGTGATAGTCGTTGAGCGTCGTGCTTTTCGTTCGGTAACAGCAGTAGTACGTTGTACCGAGGATTCTGAATGAGATGAAAACGGTACAATCACACTCGCGTGCTTTTCAACTTTTTGATCGTTTACTAGGTAAATTTTGTTTTACAGAAGCAAAATTAAAATGCAACGGCAAAGAGATTTCACTGTTTCTACGCTTGGTAAAACAGATATTATCTGGCTCTGTAGTACATTATTGTAGTATAGTAAAAGAAATTTACACTTTGCAAGCAACGTTATATGTAGAGGAAAAGAGAAAAACTTGCGAAAAATGTGTTTGTCTAATGTAATGTTGTAGAATGAATTCTTTTACATCTTTTAGCATAAGTTTTCGTAGCAAAAAAGTGAAATTTTATTTCATCTTTTTGTTAAAAAATGTATTCTGTAGTTTAAACGAGTGTTAAATGTAAAAATAGCTTTTTATATAAAAATGTTAACATCTAGAGTAAAATTGACGCAAAATAGTTACGAACGTCAAGTGGAAACTCCAACGCAGAAGCCTTGAGCGTAGGAAAGTAGGCGAAGGGTAGAACTGATGTATAAGAAGCTGCAAGTACACTCGCAAACTCGCAGCCATTAACTAAAAATTGTAACTCCCCGGGGTCACGGATATTCGAAGGTATTTGAAGCTGTTGCTGATGCTGCTGATCAGACCAAATACCCAAATCTTGCATCCAGAGTCCATCGTCTATAAAAGAAATTACATAAGCAATACAGTTTATATTTTTAATAATTCTTTTATATACTCATAAAAAAATATGGTGTCAATTTTCTTGGTTGTGATATGTAAAAAATGAATGTATTTTTGATTGAAAAATTTTGTTGACATAGAGGTGCATTAGTTAAAGATAGTTTCTGTGTAAGTAACTTAAACATGGTATATGTAGTAATTATTACGAAAAATATGTGTAGGAGTTTGGGAAAAATTTTGATAACATTTATTTTATATTCAAATAATTCTACCGTGTAACATTAATTTTTTTATTTTTTCATATTGTATGTAAGATACATTTTTCACTCATTACCACATAAAATATCAAATTAAACACGGACAACAACGGCTTGAAAACCTAATGAGATCGTTCAACAACGCACATCATATATTTGCCCTAATGGTTAACCGATTATACGCTGAATGTTCGTATTGTTCCTACTGGCGTGGAATATTCGATGTCATTCACGTGTCAAGCATTTCTATCTACCTGCCTTTATTAATTGAAGTTGATAGGTGTATAAATGGAATATTGTAAGATCATTGACCCGACAATGAATTAGCAGATGTTTTTTTATCTTTCAATAACAGACTCGCAAAGTTCATTTTCTCAGACGGAATGTTCCTACGCTGGAGCTCGAAAGACAATTATTAGCGATTACATGAAAATGCAAATTTAGCCGTTCAATGAACGAGATCGGAAAATTTCCTTAACTTTGTGACCTAAATTACTTCTGTGAACGGAAATTTGACTGAAGACATAATGGAATTAATATTGCACGAAATTCACTTGAAGATTCTATTTTGAAGTTTCGGAAGGCAAAAGAGATATAAATATACTCATAGAGCACGTTAAAATATTTCAATCTTCATAAAATAACGTAAATGTATCTTTACATCCATTATAGTTTCAATAGCGATAAACAATATTTCACCTGGATAACTAGAAAAATATCCTTCGCTGTAGCTTCGTCTTCTCCTATCACCATTTGGATCAAGTCTAGTCCGCCTCCTGTTAAAACTACTTCTTTTTTTCCTGAAAGATGGTATCAGCGTGGGTGGAAGTACCGTGGCTATATCCTCCAATATCATAAATTGCGTTGTTGTAGGTAGGTCAGCTGAAGTTGGTCCCAGACTCGTCATCATCATCCGCGGTAACGTCGACGACAACATCGCACTAGTTTGCGCTGTCGTTGTCGTTGGCTGCGTCGTTGTTGTCGTCGGCATTGTCGTTGTCGTTGTTGCTCTTTTTAAACATAAAGCTTTTATTTTTGTTCAATAATCTGCAACAGCAATAAATTCAATTTGAACTAACTGTGTGGTGGTGGTGGTGGTGGTTGGCATAGTGGTCGTAGTAGTTGGTGGTGACGTCGTGGCTTGTATGCTGGCCGGAGTTGGTGGCGTCGTAATGGGTGTAGTAGTGGGTGATGGTGTAGTCATTGTTTGAGCAGCGGTAGTGAGCATTGTCGTCGGATTTGATATAATCACAACTGACGTGTCAATCGTCGTCGTGGGTGCACCTGTCGTCGTCGTTATCATCGTTGCTGCAGCGGCGCCTGCATCTGTATTAATAACTTTGATACAAGCATCGTTACATTTACACCAGCGAAATTAATATTCGTACCAAATTAATATTCAAAAAAATAGTACCATTAGCAGTAGTTGGTGGCATGGTAGTCATAGTCGTATCAATTACAGGTGTCGTAGTCGAGTCAGCTTGCGCATCGGTCGTGAATGCTTGAGTCGATAATGGATTGGGTGTAGTCATCGATCCTCTCAAGCCGAAATTCCCAGCGGTGGCGTTTGCCGTGAAGTTCGACAAATCGATGGTGAGATCGAAGCCGTAAAATCGTAGTATACCCTCGTAGTCAGTGCGCAGTGATGTATTCTCACGATTGAGGTTGAGACCACCGAGAAAGCCGTCGGGGTTTAGATACGTCTATATACGTAAAAAGTCAAATTGTAGGATAACAACAAACGAAAGGATTTTACTCGCGTCGCTCGCATTCTTAATTTGCATTGACGACGATTGTACAGAGAAACACTTTTTGCTAAGCATTCAACTCACCCTTAACCTTCTGTGTATGTCCCTCATGCCAACTCTCACGACATTTCTGTCGTGCGGTAATCCCAAACACTCAACGATCTGCTGTCGACTTTTCCCAGCTGAACCTTCATAAAGCGCGGCTAAAATGAAGCCAAGACCAGCCGGCGAAAATGCAACGTTACCAGGCTCGACGTACTGCTGTAGTACTCTCATGCCCAAACGATTGATCGCATCAGTCATCAAGTCGATTGGTTGCCTCGGTGGTCTGGGTGGTGGTGGTGGTTGATAACGTAGCCATGATTGATAATGCGACGGGTAAGCATGGAAATGGCCGCACACGTTCGATGTTGCTTGAATTGAAAGAAAATTTTCAAGGTGAATATGTTTTGGTAAGAAAGTAATTATTTCTACGAGTAGGATGCTTAGGATTTTGCAGTGAAATATAAATTCAAGTTTAATACAATCTGACTTAGAATGTCATTTAAGTTCGAAGAAAAAAGCTTTCATTAGAGACGAAACAATAAGTAACAGAAGGTCATCTCATGGCACAAGTACGTGTCAAACACGCATTATAATTACAAACTCAGTTAGAAGGAATAACGTTACTAATTACCTAACTCATTCCACGCGATGCACAATCACACATAATAAAATATGCATCCACAGACGAAACACTGAAAAATAACTGATCCTTATATTGTCAGTACGCCTCGTTTCCCGTCGTGTAAAATGAGCCTGTTTATTTTTTACCAGAAAAAAGAAATATTCTCACATAGCGAGAGTAAGAGCTAATTACACCGACGCTCCATATACGGTGTAATACAACGATGCCGCGTAAGTTTTTTTCCTTTTTCCCTCGATAAGGGCGTGCGATAAAAAAATTTCACTTCTTTACAATTTACATGAACTTTTGGTTTTGACAGGTGATTATAACGCATCTAGAAATTCATGCAATTTTTTATATTCGAAGATAATGAGATTTCTGTATGTTACGCGACGGAGAAAAGAAAATTGACGGTATCTTAGAGTGGAAACCCTATAATACTATTCTCAGGAGTAAGACTTCCTTTTCTTGGGACATATAGAAAATTTATGTCATCCGAGCTGATTTTGATTCACTTTGATCCCCTTGAGTTCGAAATGCAAGAAAGAGAAAGAGATGCTTTCAATTTAATTTACCTTTCTGAAAGAAGAAATCGCGTACATCATAAAAGAATATTATAATTTAGGTCGCGAGAAACTTTTTTCTGTATCCTTTGAAAGAAATATTAACTAGGCCATTGCAAAATATACTTATTGGCAATATAACTATGAATAAAATTACGAAAAAATTCGAATTAACAGTCCGTAACTTATTGTTTTACCATTGTGTCACGTTAAAATTCTAATAACCATGCTTTGATGGATATTTAAATAGGATTTAATGAGCTGTATTTTCTTGCAGTAATTTCTTTGATGACTTGACGCCAACAAAAAACTAATTTATTTTTTATTTGATGATAGACGTTACAAAATATTCCCAAATTTTCATCAAGAATAAACTTCATAATATCAGACGTCAAACTTACGTGGGAGTAAAAAGCATCCCGTGACAAAACAGCCGATAACCCAGGCCGCATGACCAGCCATTATCTTGAATCACCTGAGTCCCTTCGCAGGTCGCAAACACTTTTTTCACACTTGCTAACTTTATCGAAAACAAAAAACTTTCTACTTAACTCACCCTTATCGCAGTGTCAGCGCACTAAAAGGCTATTAATAAAAAAACTGTTCCAAGAGTATAATGCAAAGAGTATAATCCAAGAGTAGAATGCTACGTTCGATCGATGACAGAAGAAGAAAAATTCAACTTCACCGAATATCGTCGATAAATCGCGCGCGCGAGAGTCGATTAGCGTGCAATTCGCGTGCGCGGCACAATGGGGACTGAGTATAGTCGGGGGCCCGCGGGAAAAGATCGGCTCCGCGCTGTGCGTCGCTGTAAAGTATCTCCCCGGTTGGATATTCACTTTGCTGTAGCAAGGTCGCGCGACTTGTTAGAACGATGGGTAACCCTGCTTTAAGAGATTAGGAAGCTGCGTTTTTCTTTCTGACGATATTGTCATGACAATGTTAGATTTTTATAACGACCTTAAATTAAATGTTAAGCTTTAGTGAATGACATTTTTTCTTGTTCGACGTGGCCGAGATAAATGTTTAGAAAAATAGACGAAGCTTGATGAAGTGATTACTAGTTTTTTCATTCGATATGTCACATGAAATTTCAGGAGACCAATGATTTACGTGAGTTGATTAAATTTCAAATCGAAAAGGAAATCTGTTTACTAATAATAAAAGAAAATTGTCGATTTGCCTGGTAATAAAAAATCGAACTAAAATGTTTCATGGTGAAAAGAAAATGATGTAAAAAATAAGGAAAAATAAGTTATCGAAAGCCGATAAATTGCATTTGATTCTGCTAAAAAACATTTTCGTGACCGATAAGATACTAAATACTTTTTTAGTCGATCTAACACGAAGAAAAAAGCAATATCACATCTCATGCGACGCGTTGAGCAAAAAGAACAATTTGTAAGAAAAATCAATAAGGTTAAAGGTTGTTTCTACTAGAAAATATACACTATTTTTCAAAGCTCCCATCTTGTTGGAAGAGAAAATTTCTCGGATATAAACTGCACTTTATCAACAATTTTAAATTTGAGAAATTTTGAACGATATTTAAACTTTTCGAAATTCGTACTAAAGAAAGTGAGATGTAAACGAAAGAAGATAAAGCAGGTGATCTGTGCACTTATTTATGGCTTTCAGTTACTTCTCCGATAGGAACTTAACACGCGCTTTTTCTTTTATTTACACGTTGAAACTCCAAATATGACGGCCAATATTTGAAGTTGACAGTCGATTTCCAATTAGAGAGCACGCACAATAATTTATCGAAACAAATCGACTCTCGCGACAGCGAAATTAAATTGACTTTTTTTCCTCTTCATTTCCAATCCCACGACAAACACGCGGATCAATTGCTCGCTCGCCGACAAACATTCACCTCCGTGTAACCTGTAACATCACCGAGAGAGAAAGACAGAGAGAGAGAGAGAGAGAGAGAGAGAGAAACAAAGCGAAGCCTCGGCAACAAAAGGCAACGGCCAGTTCGCTGGCTCGTCCTAATTATAAGCTTCGCTGCGAGAAAGAGCGAGAGAGAAATAAATGGAAGAAAAAAACGCGCGCGGCGCGATTTACGAGTAGAAGAATCATTATTCCCTCCGGGCTTACGCAACACGGCGACTTTTACTTCACGCTAAATACGTAACGATCAGGCACAATGCCCTCCCTCCCTGCTCGCATAATTGTCCTCATCGATTGCTGCCATTTTACGACGACTAATTTTTCAATTGATCCTCTTTCTTCTTTTTGTGCTGGAGGCAATTGCAGTGTCGTTGCGAGATGAAAGGAACTGTTGATTGGATTTTCATTAGGATTCTCTACAAATAGAATTTGTTTTATCTTTGTCTTGGGTGATTATTTTTCATACTGATAATGGAGCAGAGTTACAGTGATTTAATCAACAGATTTTTTTTATTAACTACAACATTTAATACAAAAATATCATTCCCAAAGGAAAAATCAATTACATAATCCTTGTCGACGAATTACACGTGTAGGTGCATAATAAAATAGTTAGACGAAAAAAGGCCGAGGAAACGAATTTACGATGCGAACGGTCGAATCAAATTTTTCTCAGCAAGGATTTTCCGGTGGTGCCAGATGAACTCGCTACCGATGAGAACCACCGCCAGAGTGAATCCTAAGAGAAACGTAAGCATTTTAAGGTGGAGCTAGACTAAAAAATTACAAAAAAAAAGATTTATACCGATGGCGAGTACGAAAAATATTCCTTGCATATCGCCCATGTCAACTTTGTGATTGGTGACTTCCTGACTTGCTTTATTTACGAAGCATTTGTCTTTCAATGGTAGTACGTCCAACGACCACTTGCTGATAAGGCCTGCTTCGTGCATTCTTATGATTCTAAAATATTGAAAGAGTTGTGTGAGGAATTTGTACAACTGAGCTTTGATTTGTTTTCTTATTTTATTTTAATAATTTGTCATGAAGATTTGCTTTGAAAAACTAATTCTATAATGAACAAATACTAAATTTGACTACATAGAAAAACTTGTTCAAAAGCAATTCCATTGGAATGAAAGTAATTTGAATCGTAATTTAACCGAGTTTTTTTATAAGTTATGTCAAATTTCATCTCGGTAAACACAGAAAACGAAGATAAACGTACGCATTATTGATGAGATCAATATAAGGGTTATTAGCAGCAACGAGTAATCCCATATTTTCATGCATGAAATTCTCAGTGCCAACGTGAAAGTTACATACACCGGTTTCGATAAGATCAAGTCGCATGAGAAAGGCCTCAGACGTACGCCAATCTATTAAAACATAATTGCTATCCTTCACCTTAGCCAATGCACGACGCGGCTCGGTTGGATCCTCTTGCTTGGCACCGTCCAGTAGCTTTTTGTACTGTTAAATTGCGGCTATTAGAGAATGCATAAATACGTTTTTCATCGTAATATCACATACCTTATCAGTCTCCTGCGAAGCAGTAACGAGATAATTTTGCAAAGCACTGCCGTTGGGATAAACCCAAGTGAATTCATTTTGACGCGCGATAAGATCGTCAACGGTATCAATTGGATCGTCCATTCGTGGAAAAGTCAGAAAAGCGATAAGATTGCCAGAATAAGTTGCAACTACGACCATAACTACGATCCACCAGGTGGCAACTATCAAACGCGCACTGTCTGCCTTTGGTAGACTCATACCACCTGTTAGTTATTCCTGATAGATTATCTTATCGATGATTGAATAAATCGATTTGATCGAGCAGTTACGCAAAGTACCTTGTTGTAAAAGAGCGCCATAAACGTACCAAGTGCATTGCCAAGTGGTCGAAAGGCCAACGACTTCGTCGGGTTCCATTGGTTTTGGGCTTAGTTTTATAATCATGTACAGAAACGGTCCAACCAATAAAAGTGTTGATGTTAGACACGCCCATGTCTGCCATGTGGAAAAACGTGTACAAATGTATGATCATTTACATTTGTATAGGTAATAATATACTCTGTAGGTGTTTTGATAAAGCTACTCTGTAAAAGAGTTTCCTTGTGTTTTGTTACTTTTAGCGTCAAATCAAGAAATAAATATAATTTGAAAATAGCCAGGTAGAATATTCGAGTAAATATGAGCAGCAGGAGTCACATTTCTGAATCATCAATGTGTGGATGTCCAACGAGAAAGAACTCAGAATTTTTACAAAATTACGTTCCAATGAATTTCAGCCGTCGATCTTACGCGACACTATTAACCGAGAAAAAAAAAAGAAATCAATATCACCTCGGACGTAAAGGGTGCCATGAATAGAAGAGCACGTGAAAGCAGCTTCGGCTTGGCCGACAATAGCGAGTAGGTCTGTTGGGCGATCATGTAAGTGTAATTGATGTTTCTCGTGTTCTCGCCAATCGTAACAGCAGCCGCTGCAAGGAACACTCGCGCATCGCGTACAAGCTCGATCAATTCCGCTGGCACTTTCCGTGCTACTGATATCGCTGCCTCGTTCTCATCCTGCCACGTATAATGTTACGAGGTTTCGCCTTGTCTTTCGAGTGCTTGGCATTTTTATTATACTTACGAATTTGACGGTTTTCTGAAACGACATGCCGCAGTATTATCGTTCTGTAATGACTTGTTTCGGATTTACTTGAGCAAGTTTGTATCTTTTTACCTTGCTCTTGATGGTATTATTGTTATTATCATGCTGGGATTTGCGTAGTACATCGTTGTCCGACGGCAACTGCATGGTATACGTAAAATTTAACTTCAAGCTCAGATAATCGAGAATGTTAAAGACCAATCCTCCGAATTCTAGCTGATCTGTGTTCGAGAGTGAGAGGATCTGCCAGGGTGGATTCTGCAAAGCAATCGTTTCAGATTTTTTTTCGAGAACCTGCTATTTTTTTCAGTTCAGTTCAGTCGCGCATGTCTCGAATGGCAAGTCGCTTGTTGCGCATCGATGTTCCCGTGCGCGCGCGCGTATGTCTAATGGGAAAATCGATGCATGCAAATTTTCGCGTTTATTGGTGTTTGAACAGAAATAGTGAAAAAAAGCCTACATGATAGATCGATACGGGCAGTGACCTGCCCCGAAAGCCATGCTCGATGTGGGGAAATAACACTTCATTCATTCGAACACCAGGGGCCGAACTCCAGGTGCCCGAGTCAATGAGTTCGCCGATGGCTTTCTTCTTGGATTCTGTTTTGGCTTTGCGATGTTGTTTCGCTTCGTTGATGGCAAACGATGCGCCCCATGTGATTGCCGACGCGATTTTCCAACTGATACACTCCCCGCAGGTGTTGGTCGTGCCAGAGCGGAGCTCAGTCAATTCTCTCTGTAAATTTGTATCGCATGTATAGACTAATTCGTGGGGCGAAAGAGAAGCAATTTGAGATTGTTGAAATCGAAAATTTAAGGTCGACAGAACAGCAACTGTCAGAAGAAACAACTAAGACTTTTTTCTTGGTTCCTTTTTATACGCAAACCTTTATACTTACGTTCACACTCTTAATAATCTCATCTTTGCGCTCGGCTTTTGATAATCTGACAACTTCAAACTCCTCCTCGGTGACGCTATCGTACAGTTCAAGCTCGGTTTTAAGTGAATTTTCTAAACTTACCGCCAACGCGCGCACCAATTCTTTGATGTGACACGCCAGTCCCATCTGTGCAATAGAAAAACTATGAGTTCGCCGAAAGAATTCGAATTTTCAAATAAACGTTGGATAGTATTTTGTATAAACAGTGATCTCGTTAAAATATTAATATTTTAAGGGATGTTAATTAACACTGTGAATCCAGTATCAACTTAGTACTTGAGATTTACAATTTCATTGCATAGTATTTCGAGAAAAACAGCATCTCAATGGCATTGAATAGAAGCGTAATATAAAAATAATAACCAACTGCTTTGAAATAATTGCAATAACAAGCTTGTAAAATAGAGCAAGATTTCAAAACCTTCAATTTCACAGCTGACATAACTTACCAGCGACAAGCTTTACAGAATAAAAGTAATTTCATTTCAGCCGCATAAAAGTAAAGCTCGTTAAATCTTGCTCTTGTCACTGTTTCATACTATAAAGGGCAATGTCGCAAGATAAGCTTCTATAAATATCAACATCCAAAGCCACTTCCTCAATGACAAATAAGCAAATAACAGAACTTGCAATTGTATTCACCATCGAAGGAGAAAACAAAAAAAAATGGGAACGGGTAATAGGTGTGATGTCTTAATTACGCTGCACTCGGGGCCAAGGTTGGTGGCGTTGTAGATGAAAGCGACGTTTTCGCCCTCGGCGAGGAGGTCGAGGAACATTGTGACGTTGGCATCGTGGCCCGCACCGTCGCTAATGACGTACAGCCATTGGCTTTCTGGGTTCACCATTCTCAGTGACTTTGCCTGCGTAATGTAAGTTCAACGATCAGTTTCAATTAGTTGTCGCGTGCTGCTATTTGCTGTGCCCCGACTCTTCGAAACTGTGCGTAACGCCAATAGACTGGCTTGCCTCGCGCATTTGTCGATGACGCGTTCTGCTTGTCGTCGTCGCACTTGCTTTCTATTTTCTGGCAAGTCTTTTTATTTGGCATCTTAAACCCGTACGTAGTCCGATTATTTTGTATATAAATACTTCAAGCGTTGCGCGAGACTCGAATTGCTTTTAATGATCACTAATTATTCCCGAGGATCACGGCAATCATACGCATACGTTTTCATTCGATATGACAGAGCAACCGTCTTTAAATCGGAATACTCTGGTTAGTGTTTACCTGTCGACATTCTCCGCATAAAACAAAAATCGTATATATACTCACAACTTCCATCATGGTAGGCACCATATCAATGGAAATGATGACCATGAAACAGCTACCCAACTGTTCGACGTGAAAGTCCGCAAGCATATTGTGAATACGTTGCTTCATAACACTATCTGACTTGTCGTAGTGCACGGAAAAGATGGCACGGGTCGACAGCAATAACCTTTTGTTCGGCAACTCCACCGACAACGCCTTTACCACTCGACTGATCATGTCGCGATCTGTAAAATATTATTTTAGCTTGTTCTCCCCGGAATAATGGCAGGGAGGATCACGTAGGCTTGATGCTTGTTGCGATAGCCGCGAGTGACTTCTGTGTTTTGCACTTTTCTCTAGTGTGTGCCTTGAGCGAGGTCTGTCTTTGGAGATACTGCGGAGTCTCTCGAAATGCAATGTCATGCTTTCTTCGATGCGCGTGTAAGCGGTAAAGCTCGATGAAAACAATTTCGTCGAGTGAAATTGATGACGAGCATAAAAATGAAAAGTTGTCTCTTCGTCTAATCCGCCCTGAGAAATGACACTTCGAAGACTGATGAACAGTTTTTATTTTCGAATATGACCATCAGTCAACAAGTTATATGCTCTTTATCGATTAGCAAAATAAACGACAGATTTGGTATATCGGCAGCAAACAAGTTAGCAGCGGGGAAAAGTCTTACCAAAAGTGTCATCATGGAGAAAATTAATTTTGGTCCACGCAAGAGTGGCTGACATTCGAAGATCGAGAAAGATTTGTGCCAATTCCTCACCAGAATCAATAAGTGGCAAACTTATGCCATCGCCCTCCGGCAACCTCGGACAATCCGAATCTACGTGATTTATAACCATTAACATAAAATAAGATATATTTGTTATACTTATTCTCTCGTTTTCTCGGAGACTTATTTTAGATTTTGATTTATCTACTTTATCCGCTTAGTCCTCTTTCTAATTGTTTTTATATAATAATGTATTTAGTTTTGTATATCTTGTCAACATAAGAGAATTTTCATAATGTTAGTTTGAAACAATTCAATAATTACGTTTAACAACATGAAAGAGTTTGCTAAACAAAATATATAAAAATATTACAAAATTGAGAGAAGAAGAATTGAACCGTGTGTATAGTCGGGTAAAAGAATATAAAAATGTAAAATACCAGTTATAGCTAGATGCACAAGCTTTTCCTGCAGCGCTCGCTTGAATAAATTCCAAGTTGTCTGGCAAGTTGCCACTGAGAGTAAAATCGTATAATCTGCAATTAGAGTTGCATCAGTATGAAGAAATCATAGCTGTGAAACTTGCTTTTATCGGGTTAGCTAAGCTATGACAATTTTAACTGTCTCGTTGAAATTAATGAGTTTGCAAGCTCACTACGTTACTATGCAAATGATTTTGTGATTCAACTATTGACAATTATTCAGTTTCACTCTCAGACATTTGAATAACGGAAAAAATAAATTTACCTCGTTTCAAGTCAGTATTGGTATCTCCAAATACAAATGTATCAATACCACCTTTCTTCATATTGTCCTTTATGATACCAATGACTAAATCAGTAATGTCCGCTAATCCATCTCTGTAGTCGTTGTCGTCCTTGAAGAATGTTTTCTCAACAACGACAGCTATGATTTGATAATAATGATTTGAATGTGAACATTCGAACAGCAATGAATACAAAGAGCCTATCAGGCGATATTGAAAAGGCTTCGTTTTTCAATTTTGAGTGCAATATAACTTCTACAATAGACCGTCAATGTGAACTTTTTCTCATTTTCGTTTCTCCATTTCCAGTTTATGCTAAAGTAGTTATGATAATGCACCACAATGAAGCTATTTTATAAGTGACCAAAGTAAGACTGAATAATACCAATTTCAGACTATTGACGGCAGATAAATTTATCACTTATTTTTATTTATCAATTAAATGTAGTAAAAACAAACCCATTGTAGCATTAGCAGTCATCAACGATGGAAAATCATTGTATCCAATTGTCCATTCAAATCTCAGCAAAAGCAACAACGACATAAGTAACATTATACTTCGTACCCTTCGACATCCAACGACTCACTCGGCAGTTTGACGCGACGAGATGTTATAACACATTCGACAGCGTTGAAATATTGAGCAGTGTATACGTTCAGTCTCGAAGACGATTGCGAGGAAAGTGAATCCGGGTTACGGGGTTGGGTGCAAAAAAAGGTCGCGCTTTTACTCATTGATGAGCCCATCGTAATGAGTTTGTCTTCGTATATCTTGGTCGGTGATTGAGTTTGCTTTTCTTATTGGAGGCATACACTGGAAGATATCAATGTTGGAAAATTTTTAATGTTCTAATTTTTTTTTTATCAATGAGATATTTAACTTATCCTGATCATATTTTAAAACATTTTTCCATTGACAATTAAAAATACATTCAACTAAAGTTTTTTTAATGTCGTTGCATTTATTAAAATGAGAATTTTATTTTCCCGTACAAAAATAGTTTCTAAAATAATGTTGAAAAAAATTTCAAATCAAAAATATTTTTTTTTAAGTAAGTAATTTCTTTTTATAAATTACAAGAATACATTTATAAAAATGTATTTAGAGCATGCATGTTTAAAAAAAATTGTTTTTCACTCAGTCCGAATTTTTAAATTACACATCGAAATTATTAATTTCCGTTTTGCAATACGTTGTAATCAACTTATGATTGAAAAGCAAGCAAATGAAAATGAAAAAAACTTATTACTCAAGTATATCGCACAAGAATTTTTCTTTCAGCACCTCATTTTACTCTTATAACACGTTTTTCAGCACTAACAAGTATATACAAACCTGAATACATTCGAGTACATTCCCAATCGATACTTTTTTAATTCCAAGTTTCGTTCTACCTCAATATTAAAAAATATATATACATCGCTGCTTCAATCATCCTGCTATTGATGTCTGCTCGACTGAGTAATGCGAAAACAATGTGCTGTATAATTGTAAGCAGTTCGCTGTAAAAAAAGCTCGAGAATATATATAATAGAAGAAAAGCTTGACATAAGAAGAGAAAAAACAGGATGTGAATCATATCCACGTTGAATCTGGCTGAGGACGTCACGTGTTGTTTTTTGTCAATGCCGTTGAATCTACTTTAATTTATGACGCACCTATATATAAAAGCTAGAAATAATGTGATATAGAGAGATAATTAGCTTTCGCTAGAATGAATGTACTTTTGAAAGATAGATTGAAATTCCTCGATATTGTTCACTTTAAAAGCCAATAAAGTAATCGTATGATAACGCGATTGCAGTTGTGGCTATGATGTCACTGATCTAAAATTTTTAATAAATATCCTAGAATTTAAAGTTCATCAAAAATAAATCACCTTTATTCCTGAAATAGCTAATTAAAAAAAATCTAAATTCTTGAATTTGTCGCGCCATTTCTCGTTGTTTTCTGCTCATGCGCTTTTCTCGGCTGTCCCTCCCCCTACTCCTCCCCCACACGTGTATGCATTGTGCAGACTGCAGAATGCGCGAAGTCGCTCGTGCGCAAGAGTTATATTGCTTTTTTTATCGTCCGTGAAAAGAAAAATATATAGTGTGTACAGCGCATCTCATCACACGCACGCGTTCCTCGATTATATGCCGCATGTGTATCGCATGCAGAAAGAGAGAGAGAGAGAGAGGAGAAAGAGAGACACTGTCAGTGTAGTTGTGCGAGAGAAAAGATTAGTAATAAAATTAGTTTTCTTACTGCATTGAATTGTCTTATAACAAAGTCGACAGATGGGCTGAGAGAAAGGTGAACCGTCTCTTTTCGCCTCTCTCGCACGCCTTTATGTTGTATGCGAAAGAGAAAGGTGTATAAGTGTTCCCGTCTGTGTATACGCTTTAAAAGACTTCAGGTTCAGACCCACCCCGCGCGCGCCGTACCCGCCTGGTATTATTATTTTTTTTTAGTATTTTACTTTCCATTGATGCACAAGATGATGATGATGGAACCGGAGGAACCTCTACTACAGGGACTTTTGTTATTACCACCTCAGGGTATGCTGGGACAACTTAAGGTTCGTTATCTACCTGTTGCGCTTTATTCCGGATTGTTGTGAGCTTGACCTTAACCTAACCGATGGTTTTATTATTTTTTCGTTTCTTTCATTTGGTGCACTTTTTCGCCTTTATTATTTTGACTTTGCGCGATGATGACCTTCGATTGATGGAAATTATGATTTCACAAGGTGGCTGTATTAGCTTTACCCATTTGAATATCATTGACACGATTTTTCTAGTTAATTAAGCTAACGCCCCGCGACCAAAAGAAAATGATCGAAATTTTTGTGCATACCTTGAATATGTTCGATCGGTTGGAAAATTATTCTTTTAATTTCCTCTCGAACGAAAAATTATAAATAAATATAAAAACAATAACAGAGCTGGAATGACAGTTTTTTCCGAAATACGACATTGTCAATTCGTGTAATTGTAACAAAAAAATGAAGTACTTTCAATTATTTCTGCTTGAGAAAATACTTATTAGGATAATTAAAAATTATTATTTAAGATTATCAAAAGAACATATGTATAAAATGTCTAGTAGTAACAAAAATCTACTTCCTACTTAACTGGCAATAGTTCTTTAACATTACAAAGTAAAGCTTACAGATGGCAGGGGTATATATGATTAGATCATCATCAATTGATTAAAGAGATCACTATAGTGTAATTAAAAAATCATAAATTATTTTATAGTAAGCTGTCATTTCATTCTCTTTAAAGCTGATAATATTTCATGAATCATTGATGCTGATGACTCATAATGTCATTTGTTTCACATGAATACAGATACAGAGCTGTAATTTTATTATGATCTATTATATATAACATTCACTCATAAAATCAGATTTGCCACAAATGTAATGATCGATTTTTAAAACATTATATTTATTTTTAGAAAACATGGCACAAAAAATTCTGCCAAATTTTCAGAGCCAGTAATTATGGTATTCAGCGATTAGAAATTTATGACAATCAAGATGAAGCAGCAAGTCAACAACACACTCAACGTATCATTACTTTGGAAGCATGTGTCAAGATAGCACCAAGTGCTCAGACCAATGTTTTTACTGTGAGTGGTTTCAGTCAACTGTAAAAGTAAATCATACAATGTATTAAACTACAATAAACAAGAATAAAATTATTTTTAACAGCTGGTAACAAAAACTGGAGTTTACCACTTTGGCTGTTTATCCGAAAGTGACATGGCCAATTGGATAGGTGCCTTTCAATTAGTTGCATTTAAAGATGATACATCATGCATGACAGTAGAAGAAGACAATGATCTGTACTGCACAAGTGGAGAGGGCATTTTTACTGTTCGAATAGCAGAGACTGAAGCATCAAAGAAATGTGGTTTAGAGTTATGGAAAAACTACACTTTGATAGTTGGTGCAACAGAAATGAAACTGATGGACAATCATAAGATGCTCTACACTTGGCCTTATCAATATATAAGAAAGTATGGTTACAGAGATGGAAAATTTACTTTTGAAGCAGGTAGAAGATGTGGTTCTGGTGAAGGTGCATTTTGTTTAGAACATAAGAATCAGTTAGAAATATACAGATGTTTTACTTCGAATAAGAAGAAAATGAAACAAATGTTAAATGGAGAACATAGTCCAACTATAGAAAACAATGATGCTCAATTTCAAGCTGCCTTGTCAATGGAAGCAGGATCTCGATCACCTTTGCCACCTTCTAGTATAAATCTGTCAAAGAACCTTATTGACTTGGAAATTCCATCATTTTGTCAAAATTCACAGAAACCATTACTTTCACCAGTCTCTCCAACAGAACCAGTCAAACCACCAAAACCATTACTTTCTCCAGTTTCACCAACAGAGCCCGTCAAACCTCCACTTCCAGCTAAACCAAAACCATTGAAACCTCCACGTAAGCCTGTATTTACGAGTAAATTGGATAAGAAATCATTTGATTCTGAAATTTCTGATCCATCAGCTTCTGGCAAATACAGAAAGCTGAGCTCACCAACATCACCTGATCCACCAAAAAAGAATATAGTTGTTACAGATGATGAAAAACATTCCTATGATTTAGTTGAAGTTAGAAGTGACGCATGGAAAACTCATGGAATGGAAACTGTACCACATACTGAGAGGATGAAAGCATCAAAACAAGTGAAAAGTGACAAAGATGGAAATGAAGATTCTCATTATGAAACAATGTCTTTTCCACTGTCTGCCACTAATTCTGTCAAAAGTAACACTTCATCAATCATACATAATATACCCAGCCCAAACGATCCTCCAGATTATGATAGATTACAACATTTTGGATCGATACACAAAAACAAAAATAAGTCAGGATATAGGACACCTAATTGTTCAACCATTTCTTCTCAAAGTTCACAGCTTATGACTCAATCATCTATAGAAGCTAATCCAAATTCAAATAATTATGATGTTGTTGAAGATATGAATGCAGTTAGGTTAGCAGATGATAGTCATCATGGATATGGAATAATAAGAAAAAAATCTAATTCGTCTGCTAATATGATGGAGCCAAAACATAAGATTGTTAATGATACTGAATATGCCATTGTTTCTAAACCTAAACGAGTTTGAAAATTTTTTAAACTAAACCAAATTTAATGGCTTTATCTTCCTATATTGGTTTGTAAGAAATTTCCACATTTGTTAATTATATCATCAGGTTGCCATCAAGTCAATATGTAGTCAGATCGTGTCATGAGACAATGTCTTTCGTAACATATAAGTGTCATATTTCAGTAGAAACTCGTGCCTATGAGTAAAAAAATTTAGAAAATTTAAGACCTTTGAAATTTTTAAAAGGTAGCTGAATTCTGACATGATTCTCATTTTTTTAATGCGATATTGATTTCGTTCCTTGTTCAAATTTGATTAAGGTCTGTACATTAATCGACTGATTGAAATACTGCTTTAGTGTCTTATTGTTATAATGTAATAACTAGTTTTAGATTTAGGATAAGAAACTTGAACCAAATTTATACAAATATTTTTCAAATTTTTAATCATTTCGAGTTTGAACCAGTGTACTTACAATGACATTGTCAAATAACTAGTTGTTGTTATTGTTAAATTTAATCAATTTCTGATATCATCAGGAATAGATTTATATTTTTTAAATGATATTTTATATATATTGCATCCATTTTTTCATACTTAAAATGTAGATTGTAAGGTACCACAAGCATCTAATCGTGATATGTCTCTAAGTGTGACCAAAGAATGATGAATTGAGACTATGAGCAAAAGCAAAAAAATTTGTAAATTGCCATAATTAAAAATCAAAATTACATAATTCTAAAGTTTTGTAAGTTAATTGTTCATGCAAATAGTCTCTTGTGTGTCTTGTCATGTTATAGTAAAAAATGGACAAGTTTAGTAGAAATAATTTATTTTATATGCAGACTTAATATTCATTTATCTTTGCATTTGATAATCTAATTGCAATTTATTTGTTTTGGTATTTTCACTATTGAAAACATAGCCAACATTTATAATTTAAAATGTTGCTTACGTAATAAAATCAGAATAATCTAAACCTCAAACATCTAATAATATTATAAATTATAAGAATTTACTGAAATAGTATAGAAATGTATTTTATTAAAATTAATCAGTTTCAGCCAAACTTGTCCAGATAATGCGTCAAAGACAACTTTTTTAAATAAAACTATTTTATTTGTATATATATACACAATATTAAACATTTCTACCTATGTAATAATTGAAAAATAAATTTTTATACAAGAATTTATAACTACTCTAATTATTTTGCAATTATCTAACTTTTTCATATTTTACTTTATCAACTTCTTCAGTTTCTTCAACTGGTTTGATATTCTCTGTAATTTGCTTTTTTAACAAAGTTTCAATCCTTAAAGCTTCTTCGGTTGCTAATACTTCAAAATATCCTCCATGATCATCAGCTTTTATTCTACGAACGGTTTCACCTTTTTTTTTCATGATTGATTCAATATTTCTGTTCCCCTGATTACCAAACCATCCTAAATTATCAGCTATTAGATGATTATTCTTACATCCATCACAACGAACAATGACAACTCCTTTGTTATATGCATGTTTGGATATAAATTTATTAAAGTTTCTAGTGTTGCACTTTTTGCAAGTAAAGGAAAGTTGCAATTTTCCAGTAATTTCTGCTAATTGTTGCTTAAGGTTTTCATCTGAACTTGTATTTTCCACAGTTGGTTTCTGAATAAATTCTGACATAAATGTTCTCGCTATCGAAAAATTACAACGTTGCATGAATAAAGCTGGTTTTTGAATACTCTGCATGCTGGTAATGTTCTCTTGTAAATGTTGTAATGTCATCCTCAGTCCGAAACTAATTATTCGTCGCGGAGAAAACATTATTACCCTTTTTTTTATAGAAAATTTAGGTTATATTAATTGAATTACTTTAAAATTTATATTACTATCATAACCTCAACTGATCGAGTCAACATTCGTCGACGAACTGCGATCCGCTAAGTATTGCAGTAGGCAGTCCAACACCACGTGAATCGTGAAGCTAAATTATCGCGAAATGGTGAAATTTTGTTCTATCGTTGAAATCATAAGGAATTATAAAAGTTATAGAATATGATAAAAATATGTGGTAAACGTAAAAACAAATTTATCACATTTTTCATGAGAGAAACAACTTAAATTAATAACTCTATGAATTGTAAAAAATATATATTCCTATATAGTGATCCATAACATCGATCATTTCAGTAAAATAATAGAAGTTTGATGTGTTCTTTTTTTAATGGAATTTCAATATTCTAAAAAAATTTTACCAAATATTCATATTTGTAAATCAATTGAAAAAAAATTTGTATACAAATCACTGCGATTTTCAAGTTTTCTGTGTATCCGTATATAAAACATTAAGCGCTGTCGTATCGATCGTTCAGCGCGTGCGTCAAAAAATATGTGGTGGTAATAGATGGTGGTGGGAGTGTCGGTGTGCGCGGGCGCGCTGGGCTTAAGCGCCATCTTGTCTGAAACCACATGACCTCGTTACCGTGTCCCGTGACCAGCTCACGTGAATTTTCGCAAAATTCAAACGCTTTTTCCTGTCCGCCAAGGAAATGGACATCCTGGATCAACACCTGGACCAACAGGATGTAAGGTGAGCTCGTAATATTTATTCATTTACCTATAATACGTCATCAGTGAGCATCTTAAGCGTCATCAAGGTCACTTTATTAAACTCGTCTAGTGCGTGTGCAGTGCGCATTTTCCTCCTCTCTCTCTACACACACACACACATATATAGATTTATATTTATATATATGTATATATTGATGTATACACTCAGCGCGCTTATCTCGCGCGTGTCATTTTTTTTTCACCAATTGTACGTATACTTTGTTATGCGTTCTCACCAACGTAACCACCACTACATAGTGCACCTAGTGTATGTGATATTATTGTCTGTTTCATGTATAGCAACATCTCAACCAAGGAGGAACATAGCAACCCGAGCATCGTCATCGAAGAGGCTGAAATAGTTGACTGCGATGGTGAGCCGTGTTTTATCAAAAGTAACAACATTTTTTCAATAATATATATTATATAAATAGCTTTTGTTTGGTTATCTATTACCTTAAATGAAATTCTTCAAATGTAATTTTTTGTTGACATTACATTTCTGTTTAAAATCAATACAATAATATTATCAGAACATTGTTGTTAAACTAGTTTTACAGAATCTCTAATTTGTTTTTTAATAAAAATAAAAATGAGAAATATTAATGAGTTATTAAGAAATCCTAACAATTTACTGAATCGACAGGCGAAGCTGTAGGGGAAGATGGTATGCGATACCAAGAAACATTGGCATACAGGGTTGTACAAGTCAATGGGGCACCCAGCAGTGAAATTGAACTACCCGTGACTCAAGCACCATTGCAGGTGTTAACATCACCTATAAATGGCCAATTATACGTTATAGGAAGTGCAAATGACGTCTTTACAACTGCCCAGACCTCAAGATCTGTTATAGCTCCTAGGGCAACAGCTACTTTACAAATAGAAGCACCTCGTACTACATCCTCTGGTCTTAAGAAGGTATATTTATATCTTGATTTTCAATCAATTTTTCAAGTGCAATATTTTTATTAATAATTAAATAATTTTAGAGGGATGATAGAAGAAGAGCTACGCATAATGAAGTGGAGCGTAGAAGAAGGGATAAGATCAACAACTGGATATCGAAACTTGGAAAGATTATTCCTGAATGTAGTCCAGGAACTAATGGCAGTGGAAGTGGAGGAGAAGGAGGTGGGAAAGCTAATTACGAGACACAGGTAGACATCAATTTAACTGTTAATTGTGATTAAATATATTATATTTAAATGATTTTAAATATATTAAAATGTTAATTATTATAGAGTAAAGGAGGTATTTTAGCCAAAGCTTGTGAATATATAGCAGAATTACGAGCTGCTAACCAATCAATGGGACAATGTTTGCGTGACAATGAGAAACTGCGCCAGGAAGTTGCAACCTTAAAAGCATTAGTTACTAATCTTCGACGAGAAAATTTACATCTTAAATCTCAAATACCAACAACTCAAGATGCTGGAGATGTTCATATACTTCCTTAATTGATTATTTATTAATTTACGACTTTTTTCTGTACATATAAGTGCTCAGAGCATTCTAATCTTTCTTTTTCTTTTTTTTCATTGTAGTAAAAATAAGACTTTTGTTTTTCAAAATATGTCTGTGTGTCTATATATATATATATATATATATATATATATATATATATATATATATATATATATATATGTGCACATATATATAGTCTTGTTTAACTTTAGATGAATTGTCATATATTTTGCATCATTTTATTTTCAAGTATGTAATATTTTTGGAGAAGTTATATTTTTAAATAACAGTAATGATGCCTTAAAGTGTTGAAATGGCGATATAATTTTGTAAATAAAATCTTGATTTTTAAATTATTAGTATCTCTGATTTTGAAATCGTAACTTTGGTGACTTCAAATGTGTAGTATTATGTGATTTTTTGAGTAATAAGTTTTGTTTCCTAATATTTTAAGGTTGATATAAAAATTACTATTGTTATAAAAATTAATAATTTGAATAATTAGTTTTAAAGCTTAAAAATTAATAAACATTGTTTATTAATTTAGAATGTATATTCCCATTATTGCGAAAAAAATCTTTGAAAGAGAAAAAAATGCTTAATTTTTTATCAGAAAAATAATTTATCGAATATCTTTTTTATTTTTAATACAATTTTGTTGTTAGCTAGGAATAATCAAGTACGTTAGCGCTTAGAGAAATTGCGTTAATAATAAATTGTTGTATGTGACAATTGTTCAATAATCGAGTCCTAACGCAACTGTGAACACTTAGTGACTTTAATGAAGAAAAAATCGTATCTTGTCAATATAGATTCACGTGTATCACTAAATATAATGTAAAAACACATATACTTCTGTATATATGTAAATGTTTGTGCAAGTTCTGTAGAATTTGGCTATGAAACTTTGACTTTTCGCAGTTTTATTCAGCATTCAATAAAATGTATAGAGCGTTCCGAGAATATTAAAATAATATACTAATTTTGAGTCATGATTTGTATGTATGAGTTAACAGCACCAATTGAAACTGAAGACAAAAAATAAAATTGTAATTTGGTATATGAAAGAAAAATAATTTCAACTTAGTCAAAACTACAGACATTTCGTACAATTGGCGTTTAAAATTTCATTCAATTAAACACAAACGTGTACAAACTTTAACTCAAACATAGTATTTCAATAGTATGTTAATATATTTTCATATTAATATGCGATTCAAAAAAAATTCAAAAGGTATTCAGAAAAATCAATTGTAATAGAAGTTGTAAAATAGCATTGATGTATATAGCGCGGAGTTATTGTTATCAAATTATTAAAATGAAATTTGAAACTTAATTTAAAGAATGTATTATTTTCATTGATACCCTGGGTATATTAATATATTTTATCGATTAAATTATCATGAAACAAAAATCTAGTAATAAGTTTTATGAAATATTCTAAGATGTAGTAGAATGTTTAATTATTAGTATTTTATGTATAACGGGTAAAACAGTTGAAGAAACAACAAATTTATTGTGCATAGCTTTTATTTGTTTTTTTTTACATATCATACAATGGAAATGATACTGAAGCTGCTGGAACTGGACATAATGGAGAGCCTTTGCTAATCATCATCATCATTATCATCATTCTCAATTCTCAACTGCTATAACCCAGCACCTTGACATTTTTATTTTCTCTTCATCATTATATATAGCCTAGCATTCTTAAAACTGTTTTTTCTATATTAACATTGTATAACATTATTTAACGCCTATGTATACTTTCTGTTACGTTTACATAACATAATATATGGTACAATAGATAATAATACTCCACGATTCAATACGGATTAATCATCTCAAACAACGTTTTCTGAGTTATAAAAAAAGCTATCAAAAAGGTCCTCCCGACGCGCGAATCATCCGACGCCAAGGCCATCATTTTTTATTTTGTTCAATGTTTAATTATTTGTATTGTCGTCGCGCGTAAAACAGCAGGACCGAGAGCTTTTTTTTCAAGAGATGCGGTTATTGTACAATGATTAGAGCTTAATTGTTGCTTTCAATTTTATTTTTTTTGTGCATGCACGATGATTTCGACTTGAAAGGGTTTTTTGTTGTTGGAAATGCACAAAGCTGCTTCACAATCGATGGCGAGAGTTCGAATTTGATGTCCCTAAGAGAAAGTCTCCTTTAAAATTCATCTCTATCTTGGTGAAAGTGGGGCAAAAAAATATGTATTCCTAGGGATACGATGTTAACGCACATTTTGTTCAAACGCTTATGGATATCGAGATCGTAATTAATATTGAAATTTCACCCACGATCATCGTTACAATATATAAGAATTACAGTTTACAATTATAATAAACACATTATTTTTTTGTTGTTTTCTCTTCTCAAAAAAAGTAACGTTTAGGGGTGTCCTATTTGCTTTCTTTTTCTTTTATTGTCGTTAATGGGGTGTATGTATTGACAGTAGTACGAGCGTTCGAAATTCGCTCCAATTTATTTTGTTTTTTTTTCGTTTTAGTTTAATTTAATTAAGATTCACATCAAATAGTTATGTACAGCAATTGAATGATAATTTTTTTCATGTTCGTTGCAACAGGAGACAGAAGCACAGATAGCAAATTTGTGAGAACGGTCCCATTGTTTTTTTGAAAAAAATAATTGTATATAATCACATCCTTCAGACTACTACAAACTACTGCATGCACATAAACAATTATATAAAAAATTTGTCTATATACCGATTTTCATCAATTCCATCTAAAACTGCTCTACGTACTTTAATTATTGGCTCTAAGCACTTTGCTATTTTATATAATCATTTCCTTCAAGTGATCATCTTATTCTGAACTACAAGTGAGAAACCGCACAATTATGCTTTTTTTTTTAAATAAAAGTAATCCGATGTAGGTTTAACTAAAAAGCAACGAGATAATTCTTAGATGTCTTTCATTTGAGTATCGGTCCTAGGATTTCACAGTTTTTTTTAATTTGTTATGCACACAATTGATTGCAAATATCCCATTTACTATTAAATCAAGATGGAAGATTGAGGATAGTCGGAAATAATATAGCTTAGAAAAAAGAAAACTAAAGTATTATATTTTAAAAGCATGTCAGTTTCGTTTTCAAGGTGTGTACTAAGAAAATGGGTACAATATTTGTCAATCCACTTTATTTCTTGAAACATTGTGTTGTTATAGTTAAAGACGTTGAAAAATATATACGTAGCTTAAAAATTCTTTTTAAATTCATCGATTATATATTTTTCATGCAAATCTAATCGCAGGAGCCCTTTCTCCAAACAGCATAAACATTCTTTACTTAAAAATATAAATTCAAGTTAGTATATTTGCTTTAAAAAGGACTGATGTTTATACTTTCGTTCGTTGTCTTGAAAATGAAACTGATACTTGCACTTAAAATTTACAAATTAGCTCGTGTACTCATCCTGATTAGAAAACTTGATTGAAAACAATACAGTACAGTTCATAAATAGAATTAATTGCTCGAACCATGAAGTTGTTTTACCAATTCAAATTGGCAACGAAATATGTTTTATTTACATTTTTTTTATTTTTATTTAAATACTGTGGTATGAATGAGTAAGTTAAAACAAATTCTTTTCTTTTTCGTTTTGAATAACCATAAAATCATTTGATCACTAAAACTAACAATTCATCATTAATACTTTCATATAATGATCCAATTAAAATCAGATGAAAATGATATAATAATCACAAAAACAGTTCATTCGAAATGATTAGCTATTCATCATTGCATTCAATAAAATTTTCTAAGCTAGGATTTCCGTGGGTTTCGGATATGCTATGGAATGTTTTGATAGCACTTTCCGCGCTTAAGGTGTATTTTCTCTCAGATTGAAAAATTAATAATTCTACATTGGTCTAATAAAAAATAGCCATCAGCTAATAATTACGACCGCTCTCTTGTATCTCTCGATAATTTTTGAAAGTATATTACTTCTATGATATGACGGCATGATCTTTTTTTTTAAATAGGTACAACCCCAAACGACTGCAACTGGATTAATTTCCGATAATGGAAGTCCAGGCAGTACAATAACAATAAATTCACATATATTGCGAAAAATTAATCCTCTAAATTCCTAAACGCCTGTTGGATATCTTCATGAAGTTGATCGAAATCAGATCTGATCTTTGCCTCGCCATCTTTTACAGGATCCTGAAATTAATGTATTTAAAATGTTGATTTATTTAATTACACTTTTTTTTACTGATTTGACAAAATAAAAATCGCATGCCATTTTTTGTTGAGTTTAAAAAAGTAGAAGATTCTATATTCGACTGAATTTATTTTTTAATTTTTTTGTATGTTGGTTTTTTTTCTAATTTTTTGTATATTTTTGCATATCTCTAAAACAATTCAACTTATTTCGATGAGGATAAGCTCCTTCAAAGGTTAAGTTAGTGTATAATTTGTTATAATTAGATATTGATTGGATTTAATTTATGCAATCAACTTATGGAAGTATAAATCATTCGATACAAATCCAAAAATTTTTAGTATGAAACGTTCATTTTGGTTTCCGTAAGAACTAAATTTTTCCCCATAACCTTCAGCAGTAAAATAAAAAATAAAAATATAAGAAGTAGATTCAGTAATAAAATATTTATTAATTTACCTTGAATTTCATGGAACTGAGTTGGTACAGTATATTGCCCATACTGTCTCGGATGACGTTCCATGTGATTTTGTTATCAGATTGTGCTGTGGATTCAACGGCATGCCTAGCCATATCATAAAATGCAATCATATTTTTCAACATGCCGACTGTCTTGTAGAATGGGCAGAAACGATCATATGGCGAGTAACTAAAAATCAGGGTCGAAGTGATTACTATATACTTGTATAAATCTCAAAACAAAATTGTATAAAGTATTACCTGTTCTGTTGTAAGAAATCGTCCTTGAGAAGTTTGGCAACCTCAAGAGTGATTTTGTCAGTTTCGGCAAGAGAAGCTTTACCAACCAGCTGCACAATTTCTGAAAGGTCTTCTTCCTCTTGGAGAATTTCCTTGACTTTAGTACGCAGAGGAACAAATTCCTGGAAATTCTTGTCATAAAAATCATCCAGAGCACGCAAATATTTACTGTAAGAGATGAGCCAGTTGATAGATGGAAAATGCTTCCTCTGGGCAAGTTTTTTATCAAGACCCCAGAACACCTAAAATACATGTACCGTGAAAAGTTCAACTTTAAATTGTAAGCCCTTCTATGCTGCTTAAGTTTACCTGCACAATACCAAGTGTAGCACTGGTGACAGGATCGGAGAAGTCACCACCAGGTGGTGAAACGGCTCCTACAATACTGACTGAGCCTTCTCTATCTGGGTTACCAAGACACTTGACTCTGTAAAAATCATATTTGATTATAAATCTTTTTAGAAAAGCTGTATGATATTTATCGTTATATTAATAAAAGCATTTACCTCCCAGCACGCTCGTAGAAACTAGCAAGACGAGCACCAAGGTAAGCAGGATAACCAGAATCGGCAGGCATTTCAGCCAATCGGCCTGAAATTTCTCGAAGAGCTTCAGCCCATCGAGATGTTGAGTCAGCCATCATTGATACGTTGTAACCCATGTCTCTGAAGTACTCAGACAAGGTAATACCTAAAAATAATAAAATAATTCATTAATATTCTTTCACTCATTTAAAATTCATAATATAATTTTCAAAATTACCAGTGTAAATAGAAGCTTCTCGAGCAGCTACAGGCATGTTAGAGGTATTGGCAACAAGAGCAGTACGCTTCATGATAGATTCTGTAACTCCGTCTATCTCAACAGTCAGCTCGGGAAAATCTCTCAATACTTCGGACATCTCGTTACCACGTTCTCCGCAACCGACGTAAATAATAACATCTGAATTGGAATACTTAGACAGAGCTTGCGAGATTACAGTTTTACCGCAACCGAAAGCACCAGGAATGGCGGTGGTACCTCCTTGGACACAACTATTTATAAAAGTAAAAGGCATTCAAATTAATAATAGTTATTGGTGAAATTATGTTAAAATGATCGTAAAACTTACGGAAAAAGTGAGTCCAACACACGTTGACCAGTCAGCAGAGGATGATTAGCCGGCAATTTCTCTGTAACTGGACGCGGTTGACGTACGGGCCACACCTATGATTGAAAACAATGAGTAAGTAAATGTTCTATTTTCAATTAAAAAAGAGTTACCCAGAAAATTAAGTGCTTGAATAAATACTTCTAATTTTAGAATAGTCAGTGTATAAATTACCTGTAGCATAGTATACTTTGTCCTTTCTCCATCAAATTCTGTCTCCAAAACAACATCCTGTAGTACAAAATTTTAAACATGAGAATTTGATAAAACAAGCTTTAATTCAAGATGTAGCAACTTACCTCAACAGTGTAATTACCAGCAGGAGCACAATACACTACAGTTCCCTTACTTTTAGGTGGTAGAATCATTTTGTGCTTTACCAATGTATTTTCATGGACAATACCATATAAATCACCTCCTGTAATGTGGCTACCAACTTTGATGTTCAAGGGATTAAATTCCCAAGATGTAGTGCGAGCCAAAGCAGGAACATTCACACCTTTAGGGATGTAAATTGAGCTAGTCAGCTCATTGATATCTTTCAGTGGACGTTGGATACCATCAAAAATACTTCCTAAAATACCAGGTCCTAATTCTACAGATAAGGGTTTGCCAGTACGTAGTACTGGATCACCAACTGTGACACCACTGGTTTCCTCATATACCTATAATAATGTATTACAGTTTAAATTTTCAGTTTAATTTAAACTCTAATCTAACAATGGGTCTTTTTAAAAAACACAATTAAATAGAATACTATACAAATTGGATGGTGATAATAAAAGTTATATTTTACATTATAATATAATATTCTAATAAGTAGAGTTTAGTTACCTGAATGGTAGCCATGTCACCTTCTAAACGGATAATTTCACCTACAAGCTCGTGGTAACCAACACGGACCAACTCATACATAGCTGATCCAGACATTCTCTCTGCCGTAACGACTGAAATGGATCATTTTTTCATGAAAAATAAACTTACACCTAGTTATTTATATTCCAAAAGTAAAAATATTTACCAGGACCAGATACAGCATAGACATATCCAAATTTATGCTCCTTCTCCTCATTTGCAATCTTTGGCAGCGTCATTGTGACCAGTTAATCTGTAAATAACAAATTTACTACACTTTTATGTTACTGTTTTATCAAAAATCAACATAAAATATGAACATTGCTCCAAAACACAACTGATAATCTCTGACTCAGAGTTTTCATTTATTCCACATAAAATTTTAGTAAGCATGGACAAATTAATTTTGATGAATACGGCCTAACATGAATAACCGAGCAAAACTAGATACGCAGCACGAAAATATAAATAATTTAAGACGCAGCAGAACGCGCTCAAGAAGCATTCCGCTTTAATTGAAAATCACGTGATACATCTCACACTCACGAGATAGCGAGTGCCAAAAGTGCGGAGTATCTTGTGGTGAATAGTTACCAAGAAATTTATCAATCATCAACGATCCCTAACACAATCGAGAAACACTTGCTGTCCTTTCGGACATAAAACAGTGTGAATCCAAAAACAAAAAACTGCCGATAAAATCAATGACGAGATATGTAAATGTTTAAGACACTTTCTTTGACACCTTTAATTTAACGATCACAGACAATAAACACGTCAAATGACTTGTTTTACAATATCAAGATGCAAATAAACATAAAGTTATTGATCTTGGGAAAAAAATGAAACAAAAAAACGAATGCAGCAACAGCAGCGACGACGTCTTTCTTTCTCACGTGAGCGCTTGATGTAGGCGTAGCCCTTCCTCCGCGAGTCGCGCTGCTGCTGCTTGCCTGGCTGGCGGAATTATGCTGTTTTTACGCTTGCAGATACTTTGTATAGCTGCTCTCCGACTCTCCTGCTATTGTATTTATGTAACTATTAATAACGGACCTTTTTGTTTACTTTGCTATTTTCGATATGGAACTTTTGTACACAAATTATGATGCACGGTCGACATAAATGATTACCAGTACATGTGGTGATCAAACACATCTTTGAGGATCCGAAAAAAATTAGTTCGAGGAAACAAAATAGCTGCACTCTAATATATCACACGAACATCATAAATAAATTAAACTTGTTGGAACAATACAGCAGCACGGGAAGATTCGAACAATTACATCACCATAAAACTTAGTATAAGAATCTTTGCTACCGAAGTAATTGTACTTTTTGCATCTTTATGAATAATCTGCCTAATTTATTCGACGATGTAAATTGCGTTCACTTATCGAATTAAACCTCTCGACGAATCGCGGGATTATGTGCCTGTGTAAAAACAGCATAAGCTCAGCAGCCGTCTGCTACCTAACAGTAATCCTCGGCGCAACGCGCACACATACACACAGCGAAAAACATAACAAAGATCTGCGTGGTGGAAAGGTAAGACTTACTTCAACAATATTGTTCTCGGTTAAAAGTCGTCAAGTTTAGCCTTGATATTAAAAAAATCAGCGACGGCAAGTTATGGCGCGCGATCGATATTGCCCTGGCGCCCCAGTCACACGTACACTCTCACACAGTGTCTGTCCCGTGACTTTATCCCTCTTACGCATACGCACTCATAGTTACTTAGGACAGCAATGAAGGGGTGATCTGAATGAGACTTACGATTTATGTGGACGTTAATGCCTGTAGCACTCTGACACGGATATGACGATCACCGATTGTTGCACTGCACCCAGTCTGCGGGAAGTCCGGGCGTGCTGCTGCAGGCTGCTTGATTGCTGCTACAGTTTGCGATGGCTGCTGATGGCACTGTGTGCGAACGCGGGTCAGCTGACTGCACGTGTTGCCAACGTGCGACCAATCGCTGATCAATCCAACGAGAGTTGACCTTCTGATTGGTCGAATGCTGTGTTTAAGCTGCACGTGTCTAACCGCGAAGTTTGAATGTTTTAGAAGTTTAGTGAAACTTGCAAGGAATAGTTAAACGTAAACAAGGTTTGGAATGATGAAAGTCAAATAACTGGTAATATTTTTTCAAAATAAATCAACATTGAAGAATAATATCGAATGCTTGTCGTTTCTTTAAATACTTTCTCGTTATGTAACTGACAAATTACAAACTTCGCATTTCTTTATATCTGATTGAGAAAGCTTAATTAACGTAGCAAAATCCAATCGAGCGCCGATACGAAAAGTAAATTGATTGTTGGTAAAGAGGAGACACTTAGATAAGCGTTATCAATGGAGAATGTGCAGATTTCATCTTTAACTTTAATTTTTTTATTATGTATAAATGCATTGATAGCTCCATAAAATTATAAATTCAAAATTTGACGCTCTTTTAAATTGTCTAATATCATCTAAAGTATTTATGTATTTTTTAAATAAAATAGATAGCTATTGCCTATTGTATAAAGTATGCAGTATTTTTATTTTTATATATTTTAAAAGTAAGATAATTCAACAGTCGATCCGAATTTTATTTCTTTTCAGACGCTAAGTTTTTTTAAATAATAAATTGAATGTTCTAAAATAACAAGATTCTCTCTTTCTAGTACAAATTTACAGAAACATAGCATACATTTAACATTTTTTTAACGAAAGATATTTTACAACAACAAATAAGATATTTATATTAATCTTTATACCGTTGTTCTCAAATCCGCATCGAACAGCAATGCTACAACATGGCATCAATCTTAATAATACTCAAACAGTGTATATTCAATTCGGATATATATTTTCAATTAAAAAGAAAAAAAAAAAAAAAAGAAAAGAAAACGCAAACAATCAGCTCGAAACACAAATTATCTTTATGTAAGTGTAAAGTTCAGTAAACAAAAAACCATAAAAAGTAGACAAAAAATAACGAAAAATAAAATTGCATAGAAGTATGCGCACGTTCACGACACAATCCTCGACTTAGGAATTGAAGTCCCCAAAGGCGCGGCAACCCGGTTTTACGGCATCAAGGACACGCGAAAGCAGCTTCTATTGGAACTCGTCGCGACGGCGACGACGAAAAAGCGCCGCGACGGCGCCTGGCAGCTGTTTACTCGTAAGTGTGTGTGCATGTTAGCGAAGTGTTTTCCAGTGGGAAGAGCTTTTGCTACATGCGAATTTTCCTAGTAACAGTGTGCGTGTTTAATTTGAACGTCCGGCGTGAGCTGGATGCTGGTACAAAGCGACGAAGTATGCAATGGTTTTCTTACATTCTTAACGCTTGAGAATGGCCAGACTGTTTAATTATTAAATTAAGTTTTTGAAGACAATGAAATATTCTGTATTGCACGAATGTGCAAAAAACCGATAGGATGCATCTCGAAATACATCGTAAATTACTTTATAGAAAAACATACTCGGCTCCGTAATTAGTTTTTCCATCAGAAGCATTATCAACGTACAAAACAAATACTCTCACAATTATAAAATGAATCTTCTCCGCTGCAGCTGAAAAGCAAATAACAGCAATTTCCGCAGGGTGTCACGCAGAAAATCTGTATTTACTCGAAAACGAGGCAAGTACGTAGTCGACAAAACTTTTGCTCTCCCTCACCCCCTTCCCGTCCCGCGACATCACAATGCAATTTTTCGAGCGAACACAGGAGAGTGTTGGAAAAATGCGAGCCCATTGACGCGCGAATAAAAAAATAGCGTTGCTGAATATCGCTGGAAAAATGGCAGTAGAGTATTCCATTTGTTACTGTTATATCTACTAGTTTGAAATTTTTTTTATGACTGCCGGAAAAACTGTGCCACGAAGTTGAGATATACAAAGTGAAGTTCTACTGTATTGCGGATGTAAAACAAACTTTCTTTCATTGCATGCAATTTTACTTCGAACGAACTGTCAAGGAGCGATTTCACGCGAAACTTTGTGGAGCTTAATACGTCTTTATTATTTGTGATAAGAGTTTGTGGTTTCATAGTAATCAAGCTGATTAATTTCAAAGACCAACTCAAGTGGCTGGAACATCAATTTGTATTAAAGGTGAATTTCTCTTGTAATGAGTATAATAATTTGTTAGAGTGGATTGCATGGTTCAGCTTTACTTTATTAGCGAGCAATTTCGTATTGCGATGATGGTTCTTTTCTAATTAAAATTTCATTCAAGCAGCCTCGCTTATGGAAATAAATTTTCGTTGGAACGTCGAAAATTGTAAAATGTTCTTTAAATGTGCAAGAATGCTTATAATAGCTAGGTCGAATAGCCTACATTTTGGTTATTCTGGATCAAAATTTAGAGTTTCGCCGAATTTTCAATATATAGAATGAGATTGTGTAAGCTTACCGCCTAATGGATTATTTGTATTGTACCATTTTTGGCAAGAGGGTAGAGTTTGAGTAAAATTATGCTCTGATTTTTTATTGCCTTTAAAATTCTAAAAAACCAAAAAAACGCTATAAAAATTCATGTTTGTGCGTTCACCTCGTGAAATAACCGCATCACTTCTTACGCGGACATGTTATGTTCGTGAAAAGATCAGGTCTTATGCTGCAAAATTTGCTAAGTTAAATTGTCGTATGGTAATTGATGAATATCTATAATAAACTGAAAAAGAAAAACCAAAAGTTTTTTATTCAGAAAATTTGGTTAAAACGATGAACACAATCTACCAGATGCTTATTAAAGTATAATGAAAAAATATGATAGCATCAGAAGCGAAACCACGTGAAATCAAGATAAATTATTCTATATGGCTTTTCCCTGCTGTTACGAAAGGGAATAACTTTATCGGTGTGATCATTCATCTTTTTGTATAACCCCGCGGCAGAGCCACGAAAAAGTTTTTATATCTGAGTGATGTAATAAAGATCAAAACTTGTAATTATTTCCGTTGCCGTATAAAGCTAATAGAATATTGCTATACTGAAAAAAAATCTTATTACCAGAGAAATAACCGAAAATCAAGAGAAACCGAATAAATATCCAATATACATTATTACCGAATCAAGCAAAAATTATTTTGATATTTCACACGAGCGCTTGTGTGAAATCGCTCATCATGCTGTTATATAGATATGTACTATAGCTGATCGATCCTATTTTCTGTGGCATCTAGTCTAAAATTTTTAATTTTCCAATAACTTTTTACAAGCACACCGACCCTTCCTGATTCTACGAGAAGCTATCGACTGAAAGCAGCCACTTATAGACATACTTCGAGTCTGAATATAAAAGAGCCAAAGGAGAGAAAATGAGTAAACGAATAACTGGACGAGACCATAGAAAAATTTCACTAGCGTTCGTAAAGTCCCAGCTGAATCGTAAAGTGAAGCGTCTTTTTCACAGCCAAACTTCTTGTCATCAAACATGATAAAGAGAGCGATGCTCTTCGAAAACTACTGTTTTCGTTTTTATTTTCTTTGAGCTATAAACTCGTCGGTAGAATATAAATGTTACTCGAAAAATCGAACATTCGTGTAAATATTTTCACACGTTCTCTGTGCCCTCGACAACAACGCGATATAAAACGCTTTTACCAACCAATGGATTACGAATGCGACTGCGCTACATGTATCCACGCGTAGGTGTAGGTATATGAACCCTTTTACGCCGCGAGCGCCGCACGAATCGATCGACATCCCTAATTAGGCTGTCATAATTTAAAAGAGAGGACGAGTAGGAGTGAGCGCTGTAGCTCTATATATTATCGGCATTAAATAAGCAGAGCTGGGGTGACGAGAACTCGAGAGAGAGAGAGAGAGCACGTTGGCGTTTCCTTTTTGTGCTATACTTGCGTTCACGAGATGGTAACGTCGTTCTTTTGATCACTCGATCGTTTTATCGAACTTGAGTTTGAAAATGACTGTGTTCTTGTTGTTATTGGAAACTTTTTCTATAGTGCAGATCATTAACTTAATGGAAGAAATATTGGTTCGGCAGAATTATAAAAAATTGCTAGAAAAATTTGTCGAATAAAAGAGACACTTGATAATCCAAAACAACAAATACATATTTTGCTGCATATTCAGCTTATCTTGTACTCGAATAAGAGAACATTGCGATGAGATGGCCCGCTGTATTTGATTTTAGTTCGTTGACTTTAATTAGTGAGTATAATCGAGTTAAAGGTGCGGTACAGTAACATGATTATCCATATGCTTACTAGTGCTTCTATTCAAAGTTTTATGCAAAGAAAGAAGGTATCGAATATTCCATGAAAAATTATCTTTTTGTTATTTAGATTTAACTGATGAGACCATTACAAAATAACTTATAAATAACAATAATAATCTACACAAGTGGTTTCACATAGTTGAAAATTGCATTGAAAATTGAAGATATGGTTATTCATTGATTCGATTTCAATGACATTCAATTTGTTTTTACTTTTTTCCTACTTTCAACCACAGCTTTCCAAAATTCTCCGCATTCGAATGTACTACTGAGCAAACACTCGAGTGATTGTGGAGTTTCAGACTCTCCTTCCGACACTTGGAATTTGATCGCGCAAGCGCGCATGTAGCGGTGGCATTGACCAACCTTCACCCTGGCACAGGGTTAGAGCTTCAGGGGCCCATATACCGGCCTCCTGTCTCTCACGCACACGTGCAAATCAATTGTTGCAGAGTGGAATTTCAGCAGCAGCGCGTCACTACGAACACGGGGGATGAGTGCGGTTCTGGCTGTCGGCCAAAAAACTGGAAATTGTGTCTTCGTGTGGCCTACATCGGACCTCGCGCACACACGACTCCGCGAAATAATCAATCTGCCGGTACCGCTACGTTGTCTCAAGTCTATTTTACTCCCCCCTCCCAAGCGAATTATCCGCAGCAGATGCTTATCGAAGGAACTCCGG